GCATCTCGATGAGGTGTGTAAAAACACGTGAAAGAAATGGAAGTTGGTGCAAACACTATAAACTTCCTTTTGGACTTCCCTCTCTGCCCAAAGTTTGTTTTCCTCATGCATTTGCACCAAAATCTTCTCTTTAAGTAGACAACTTTGAGATGGCCTCCATTACTAGCTGTTAGCCTGTGTGAGGCAAACGCTGGAATTTTACCAGGAAAAGTCATATTGATGCCTCTGTTTGTTCCTGACCTGGAGTAATACTTGTGTGTTGTGCAGATGGTCTTATACAAAACAAACATCCAGGACGGCAGCGGCGAGTGTCACTGGCCCTCAAATATGCCCCCTGCCATCGACAAACATCCTCTTCTGAAGAGTTCGGTCGCTGATCTGAGGGGCCCCGCTTTGTAAGGCTCCTCTCTGACCTCGGTGGAGACAGGCAGGCAGCTGGTTACACAATAGTACTGTTTGAGCATGGACTCAAGATAAAATCACCAAAAATGAGTTAATGCATCACTGTGGAGGATTGGCTAATGCAGAATATAACGTAAAATTCCCAACGTCATGATTTTGTCATTAAATGGGTACTCTTTACTTGTATTTTCATTGAATATTTGGAAATGAATACTGGGTTTTGAATACTGAAGTTTGTAAGGAAAGCCTGATTCAAAATGCCAGGAAGAAAGTCCTGACAGTTCTGATGAAAATGAATAGAAGAGATCCTATTACTCTATTTTATCTTCTGTCGATTGACGCCTTTTTGGTTCAGGATGCAAGTCATCGAGATAAAAGCACCTACAGATCATGAAAATGTCAGCGCCCAGGCCGTCCGACAGTGAGGGAAATTTGCTGGATGTTTGAGGTTCTGTTTGCTGCAGAATTTAAATGAATGCACAATCCTGGCTAGTGAATGAGAAACAGCTGCTGTCGTATCTGACGTTTCTTTGACTGAAGACGTTATTTGTCTGTGAACATGTCATGCTGAAAGTAGAGAGGAATGCTGGTTTTTGCACGCCAGATTTGCCTTATTCCGGAATTGAGAGGGACATCCTTCTGTATCACCGTCAGCAGTTTCACATCTGCAACTGCACTGCTGTGTATAAATCTTGTATTTTACTTTTTTCACCCATTACTCTCATATTTAGACAGTTGTTTTTCCTCTGAGAGGTAGATGGTTCAGTTACAGTGTCAGGCTCCTCTCCTGTGGAACCAACTCCCAGGTTGTGCCTGTGACACAGACACCGTGTCTGCCTTTAAATCCGAGGAAAAAGTTCAGTCTTTTAAAATAAAACTGTCCCCTATGAACAAACTGAAGGTACAGTAGACCATGTTTTTGGGGATTTTTTTTTTTTTTTTACAAAGCCATTAAATCAGCCGAGTTCCTCTGGGAAACACTTCTTGTCACAAGAGAGTTGTTCCCTTCCACTGTCGTCACGTGTTTGCTCAGGAGGACTGACTGAAATGTATTACAATTACAATGAACACGAATTGCATGTGAATGAAATCTCATCCATAGACATATGCTGTGAAATTGGCACCAAATGAATAAACTGAATATTAATTATCTCTTAACCTTGTTGAAAAGGCCAGTATGTGATTCAAATTACCCCAAGGGATCCCTATGGTCTAATATTTTATTCTATTGTCTCTTGTGTTTTATTCCTTGTATTTTAGATGTTTTGTATGATTTCACCCGCTATCAAGCACTTTGGTTAACCTAGCGGGTTTTGTAAAGAGATATAAACATTATAATATACACCAATAAACACAGTAAGAAGAATGTGCTCTTGTTATTGAAAAGCTTATTGATCTCAGATGGATAACAATCAAATAATGATGTCGACACTGATGTTTAATGCGTCCAGGTCACTGATCCTTCATAAAAAAATTGTTGCTGCTCAAATTGCCATTGCCGTGCGCTATTAATCAGGAGAAGGTGTACCAAAAACACCACATAATTTAAAACTCATTCGGTAAAAGGTGGAAGTTGGGCAGGTTCATCATGGGATCAACAGAGGCGGACCACCAAACAAACATACAGACACCCCACCGGAGGCCCATTTGGAGTGGCCAGTGAAAGTAAAATGCATGCTTGTGAAATGCGACTGAAAACGGCACTACTAGGAAAATACTAGCACATGCATGGGGCGAACACACAAAGTCCAAACGAAGTGGCCCTAAGTGAGATTTGAAACCAAAGTCTTCTTAGAAACCATTGATGACCACTGATTTCAGCTCGCATATGACATACCTTGACATTTACTAACCAGTCATTTGCTAATTGAGAAGGAATTCCATAAATCAAGAAGTGAACTGAGAAACAGGAAATCCTTCCATGACCTCCCTCCATCGTGATCCAGACATTTCATTTGTACCGTTATCATGAAATCCTACCTACTGATTTGAACTGGTGGTCACTCGCTTCATCCAAGACTTTGCGTCCATTTGTCTTGGCAACTCTCCTGATACGGAGCACAGCCCACTTGCGACGCAGGAGGAGGAGAGATCACAGTGTTTAACTTGGACCGGTTTAAAGTTCAGAATAAATACAACACAGGCGGCCAGAGTTCTGCCTCTTCTTTCCGTTTTCTGCTTGATTTGTTTCTCAGATAGCTCTCTGTGCCTTGAAAAGAAATGCAACTCCTGGGCATCACTGTGGCTTTGGGACTGCTGGGGGGGATATGGGCTCAGCTGAATATTTTGCTGCCTGAGTGCGACTCCCTGGAGGCAGAGGAGGCTGCACTGGTGGCTCAGGATTACCTCAATGCACAGCACACCCACGGCTACAAGTACGCGCTGAACCGGATTGAAGAGATCAAGATCCACACTGTGGTAGGTCAGCAGGTGTACATGTGAGAGTCTCGGATTAACAGCACAATTGTATCCCATTAAGAACTAAAGGAAAATATTGAAGTAAACAACTTAATATTTTGTCTTATACAGCCTGATGGAAACAATACATATGTCCTGGAAATTGAATTGCTGGAGACCGACTGCCATGTACTGGACCCCACACCTGTTGCCAACTGCACAGTCAGGCCCAAACATCTGACGGTGAGAACGCAGATCATTCTTCCACAGACGAGTTAGAGTGGCTCAACCATACCAGACAAAACATGATGATCAGAGTAAGGTTTTTATGTTACAAGATCAGCAGCTGTTTGGACTGATTCCTTGTGCATCTCTAGGCAATTGAAGGGGATTGTGATGTGGTGCTAAAAAAAGTTGCCGGTATTCTCACTGTCCTGGCATTCAAATGCAAAACAGAAGGTAAGAGTTAACACACTGGCATCTCACAGAAATCACCACAGATTTAAGGAGATTTTTTTTTCTGGTTGATGTTTAGAATCAAGAGAGGACTTGTGCCTTGGCTGCTCTACCCTCCTTCCTCTGAATCACACACAGGGCCAGGACTTTGTTCAAGCCTCACTGACAAAACTCAACAATGAGACACAAAATTTAACATATTCGCTCTGGGAGATTGGAAGGATGTCTTCACAGGTGGGTCTCAGCATGCAAAGGTCATGCATCCACAAGTTCAAGTATTCTACAACCTTTTAAATGTCTTTCAGATTGTGGCTGGTGGACAAATGTACAAGGCAGAATTTGTTGTAGTTGAGGCCAACTGCATCAATGACACCTGCACACCCCTGAATGACACTATGGCTGTAAGTGGACAACATTACAAAGCCTGTAGGAGTAGCTGGTTAGCGGCATTAAAAAAAAATCTAACTTCCTTTTCAGGCACGTGGAATTTGCATTTCCGAAGGTACAAACGATCCCAGCGTGAACTGCAAGATGTTTTCCACTCTGGTAAAACACTTTAAATTCCTATAATTTGAGATGATCCAATCTACCCAAATAGGCTAAATGACATTGTTCCACTTTCAGATGCCACTTTTGGATTCAAACACCACCATGGGGTCTACCTTTCCACCTCAAGTTCATATCCACGCTGGGAGGGCTTCTCACAAGCATAGTGCAGGACACCACAAGCTCACAGCCCTCCACAACCCCCACATGAGCAACTATTTGTCAGAATCCACAGAATCTGCTGAAGTGGTCCCCGTTGCCCCAGCTCTAATTGTTCCTGCTGCTGAGCCTGCCAGTCCCTCGCCAGCTGCTGATGGCTCGTCTTCAGACGCTTCGTCAGCCAGCGTGGAAGTCCCCATCGCTTTGGTGAAGAGAGAAGCACCTGCCTCCATTGTAGCCAGTGCTCCTGCCGTTCCTGTTGCTCCAGTGCAATTGTGCCCAGGAAGGATCAGGTTTTTCTAAATGTCTTAAGCTCCTAAAGACTCAACAGTTGCTTTAACTACACTGGTACTAAAGGAACTGCTGCAAGTGTGCTATAATACTCTTAGGTTCAGAATAGAGTTTGAAACTGGTCATGTAAGCATTTGGAAAAGAAACAAGATTACTGGAAATTAGATTTGCATGCAAGTGTTGAATAAAGATCAGTCCTTGTTTTTAACTTTTCACTGTGCTTTCTTGAAAAGTAAGTTGGGTACCTAATGAAGAAAATATTGCCTTATGGGTCAATGAGGACAGTTCACATTATTGACAAAGTGCACATGCCTATTTGTCAATCATGTTGACTCATGCAAACAGGACATCTTTGTACCCAGGAGTATTTCCAATAGCTGGAAGAGGAGTGAATGTGGGGAGGCATGTAGTTCAGCTATAGTTTAAAAAGTCAGTCTCCTAAGCACATGATTTGAAACAGTTTGCTTCTTTCTATGACCCTTACCCGATTGCAACTTCAAACATTTGAATGTTCTAGATAAACACCATTATTTGAAGGCGAAGACACTTAATTTGAATGTTTAAATGAAAATAAATGTTCATAATTTGCATAGTCTTTGAACAAAAATTAAAACCAGCAATACCCTCTTGGTCTTCAATTTAGTATAATGCCAGTTTAGAATATTTACCAAACATTAAATGTTAGTTTATGTGGGAGCTGTGTAGTTTGACAATATTTCCCCAAATATTAAAAACAAAGACATGAGTAGTTTTTTTGTTTTTGTTTTTTTTTTTTATGAAAAAACTCATTTCCTATTTAAATTCCTTTTATCCATCTGAAGAGGTTTGTTCTTTTCTGCAAGAATCAGGGAAAGACGTTATTTCAACAAAATCATATGAAAGACTCATTCAAAAATTAAGCACATACCTGTTGGTCCATCGTATCACTCTTCACTTCTGTCTTTTCTGGAACATTGGCTAGAAACAATTGGCTGAAATCTGAAGGTGTTTGGGACTTCCAGAGGTCAAGTGATTTCAGAACGTTAGGCTTTAATTTGTCAGCACTGAAAGATTGTTCATGGTGAAAATTCACTGTATTTGGGTCAGACGTGGTAAACAAACCTGATGAGTCACCATCCCTCTGCAAATAGTTGCTACTAAGTGAATGACTAGATGCTCCTTTACCCAACCGCTTTAATTTTTGTCGTTTTTCCTGCAAAGACTTTAATGCTTGCAGATGAGAATTTTGTCTTAGTTTTAGGGCTTTTGAGTTTGCACCATAATTCAACTCTCCAAAACGTTTGGGCTCCTTTCCTGGTGGGCCACGCTGTAGGAGGACATAACTTCGTGGTTCTGAATACAAATTTTGAGTTTTGTGTTCTTTGGTTGAATTATTTGACCCCGTCTCAGATGGCTGTTCTTGAATACCATTAAGGCCCACAGAGCTATTTGACTCAGGAGAATCTCCAGGCATAGAGTAAGGAGAGAAAAACCTGTCAATTGCACGTTTAAAGTTGTGATGTGTTGAACTTTTATAATTAGATTTGTGCAATGACCGCTGCGCAACAGCAGGTTTATTTTGTAACTCTCCTACATGTAGAGCATGTTGGCCAAGATAAAGCATAAAATTTGGCCTAGAATGGATAGTTTGTTCAGGAAATTGGATGGTAAAAGGTTCATATTGCACAACTGACTTCACTTGTTCACCGTCAGGCATCCGCAGTTGAGACGGGTCATTGGGAGATTCAGATTTTCCTTGTTCCAAGTGTGGCAGTACCATGTTTTGTGCTCCATGTAACATGTAATTTGGAAATTTTGTTCCAAAATAAGAAACTGGCTCTTCATTTGCAATCGTGGAAAGACTTCTCCTGGGTAGTGCAACAATGCCATCTGGTGGTTGGAGAAAGTATTCATATGCATCAGAAGTTTGAGGTGCCCAAGGAGAAGTTTGTGCTGAAGCACTAGCGCTTCCAGCTTGCAGAACTGGTGCAGAAAGTTTTTGTGGAATTTCAGCAGTTTCCAAGCCTTGGCTAAAGATAGGATGAGACACTGGCAAGAAACTTGTGTACAACTGAGGTTCAGCTTTACTATCACCTGGGATACAACTGTAAAAATGATGATGCAAAACTATTTGTAGACAGCAATTGGATAATACAGAAGGACAATATTGAGGACAGTAAACAGGGTTACCTTGTTTTGATGGGGGAGATTCCATTTTTTGCTCACTTGACAAAACGGCAAACACATCAGACTGTTGCATACCATGAGGTTGCTGTGGGTAATAAAACATGTTGAAGGGGTTTTTAAACTGGCCTTGAAGAGGGTTTGCAACAGGAGGTTGTGAATAATGGAAATGGTTCACCAGGGAAGCACTTTCACTCATTTCCACAGCTGGTGGTTTAGACTGCAGACAGGGTCCATGTCCCAGAGCAGTGTTAGTTGGAATTTTTGCCAGCTGATTTCCAGGCAACAGCTGAGAATAAAAGCACCTTTGCTTTTGTTGTCCTTGGTCCTTATGATATTCAGCTGTAGATCTTGAAGTTGGCTTTGATTGGGTCAGGGTACTTGGGTGATAAGAGTAGAATGGCTGGTTTAGCTGGCCCCAAGGAGGCTGTGACTGCTGGGTTTGAGAAACTGCTGTGGGCACTGAAGGTGGCTCTGGTTTGGGGTAGATGTCAGAGAACTGATCATAAACTTTGTTCCGAGATGCTGCAGGCTGTGGGGCTTGAGTAACAGCAGGTTTCTGAGCCACCTGTGGAGGGGTATAGAAGTAGAAAAATGGTCGGTACACTTGGGCTTTCGGAGTTGCCAATTGTGGTGGCTTAGTTGCAGGTTTCTGGGTTGGCTTTGGTTGAGAATAGAAATGGAATGGAGATGGGTATGCTTGGGGTTGAGAAGTTACAGATTGTGGTGGTCGAGTTACATCAAGTTTCTGAAGTGGCTTTGGTTGGTCAAAGTAAGGAAAGAACCGTGGGTGTACTTGTGCTTGGGGAGTTGCCATTTGTGATGGTTGAGTTGCTGGTTTCTGGGTTGGTTTTGGGTGGGGATAGAAGAGAAAGTATGGCGAGTATACTGGAGTTTGAGGAGTTGCTGATTGTGGCGGTTGGGTTGCAGGCTTGTGGGTTGGTTTTGGGTAGGAATAGAAGGGAAAGTATGGTGAGTATACATGGGCTTCAGGAGTCATCGATTGTGGTGGCTCAGTTACAGCAGGTTTCTGAGTTTGCTGTGGGTATACTTGGGCTTGAGGAGTCACAGGTTGAGAGGGCTCATTATCTCCAGAGAGTTTTTGAGGGGTCTGAAAATAGAAGGGATATAAAGCCTGGTATAGATTGCCTTTGGGAGTTTCTTGTGCAACATCAGCAGGCTTTGAGGATTGTTTCTGCTGGTGGCAGAACAAGTAAAATGAGTAATAGACTTGACCTTGAGGTGTTTTTGAATGTTTCAGCTGGGTCCTGTGCAAGGCACACAAGAGGTTGAATGGCTCATATACCTGACCCTTTACAGTGTCAGAGTATGGTGGCTGGGAAACATCTGGAGGTTTTAAGGCTGCCTCCATCTGGATGCACACAAGCTGAAATAGCTGGTGCACCTCACTTTTAAACATTTCAGGCCATGATAGCTGAGAAAGTACAGATGGTTTTGTGTCCAACATCTTTTGAGAACAAAATAAATGGGAGGGCATGTGTTCACCTTGACCTTTCTGAGACATTGTAGGATACAATGGCCCAGGTTTCTCAAGTAATCTTTGGAGATACAGTGGATAAGAATTTGAGAGCAGGGATAAAGCTTCTGTATAAGTTGAAGGGAATACTTGTTCTGGAATCTGCAGGTTGCTGGCAGGTGGCTTCTGGGGAATATGGGGAGGTTTGGTCACAGGTTGCATCATTCGTGGCCTTGCAGTAAAAGGCAAGTGGGGATGCAACATCTGAGGGTAAAGATGATCTGCAGATGACGTAACTTTGAATTTTGAACGTGTAGTGGTCTGTGGCTGTTTAGTAGTAGTGAGGTCTGGCTTTAGAAGGTAAGCAGAAGAAAAACCTGGAAAATGAGAATATGGAAGCTGCCCCAGATTTGAACCCCGATTTGGTTTGCTTGGCATCTTCTCATTTTGAGAAAAAGGAGGAAGTGTTAAAGATGGGTATGGTGTGGGAAATTGATACATCCATTTGCCTGGCATGTCACTTTCCTGCACAGAACCTCTTCCTTGGCTTTCTGTCCATTTGAGTTGAGCTGCCAACAGTGACGGACATGAAACCTTGGTTTCTACATCTCCAACCAACTCAAGGGAGTGCATTCCATCCTGCAAAAACAAATGTCACCATTACTAAAATTCACCTCCTTAGAAGAATAATCTGTGTTTTAAAATTTACCTTCTCTACCAGGCAAGGTGCATAACGCACAGATATAACAACACCTTCTGGATGTTCAACTATACCAAATACACAACGTTGTGCAGCTCTCAATAGGGACTCCCAGTTTCCATTTACTAGAGGAGATGAAAAAAGTCAAGTTAATTTAATAAACCAGGGTCCACACCAATTTAGGAGTTCTATGCCACACTGACACCAGTGTCAATAGAGAAAGTTTACTGCAAATCATTCTGTTTCACAAAAAAATAGCTGTTTTTATTGCATGCAGTCAATTTTTAGATTATTTTAAAAGTGATAAGTTGATATCATTGGCTTAAGGCTAAAAATTAAACAGGGTAAACTGTAGTACTAACCTGAAGCTCAATGTATACACTTGCACAAGAGATTCCTGGTGTTCACAGCTTGGCAATATTCCAATAAAATTTGTGACTCCCGTCACAGGGATTCTTTAAATGGAAAGTTCTAAATTTGCAGCTAATTTCTGATGATGGTACAACACTATCTGCAAGTTACCTGGAGAACACCACAGCTAACAAATACTTACCGTTTACTTTGATTTTTGAAGCAGATGTGATCCACTCAGTTTTCACAACCATGCCCTCAGCATGACAAGTGACCATTGGAGGGTTTTGTGACACATGTCCCATTAAAGGACATGTCATTCTGACGGGTAGGCCCCACCACAGCAACGGGAGCACATAGTCATTCTCCTGCAATCAGAATTTGATTGCGTGATAACAGCACAGATAAATCAGATGTGTAGACCATCCATAATGGGAAACCCACCTGAATAACGACAAAGCAGCCATCAAAGGGTGCAACCAAGACCAGATCTTTCTGAGTTGACTTAATGGTGTAACCACAGCTTGAGGGCAACTTTGTCAGAGACAGAGGAGACAAGTGACCTGAAAAGGACAAGACGGAGATTTCTTGAAATATCATAGCTCCCATCTGTCCCGTTTATGTTTCATACTAGGAACAGCTGTGCAGAAGAGTGTTTTTATATATAAATTTTATATTTAAATAAAAGCATACCGCGGTCCACAAGGATGAGAGATTCAGGGGCAGAGGCATCATCGTGAACAAGAAGCTTCATAGACTCTGGCGTGCACTCAACCTTTGATTCCATTTTTAGCAAGTTTTCCATTGCCATTTTTTGCCAGTCACTCTTTTCCATTAGTTGACTGGTCTCCCAGCCTTTTGAAATAAAGCATAGTTAAATGAAATGAAGTATATGTACTACAATAATTTTTTTTTTCTTTTAAGAAGTGAAATGTTTTAAATTCTGCAACACCTACCCATGTCAGCTTGGTAGTCGGCTTCATCCAGCGATGCCTCTGTGGAGTTGGTTTCATTGAGTTTGGAATCTGTCAGGGAGCTCTGTCCAATTAAGAGTCTTCCATGATGCAGATGACTTCTTTCAGGTTGCTTTTGGGTGTGCACTGCAGTTCCTCTAGATTCATCTAATGCCCTAAGCCTCACCAGTTTTGCACCATTGCATAGTGACATTAGAAAGACAAGAAGTCCTAAATGTGCTAAAATTTCACCTCCCCTGCTTTCTCTAAACGCCATTGAAGGGAAGGAAAAATAGACGGCGCTGCACACAGGCAAATGGCCTCAGCAGTGCCCCACGTAAGCTGCCCCCTGTAGCTGGTTAGTATGTTTAAACCAGAGCACACAGCCTTGGTCCTAGTTATGGTCTGGTCAACACCTGAATACAGCAGGTGTTGACAATTGTGCTAATTAGCTCATGGACCAGTAGTGATTGCTGCATGAGACAAGATGAAAGCAAAAATTGGTACTCAGCCTATCCAGCAGCCAAATGTTTTGAACTTCAAAATAAAATGTTTTAATTAACCCATCTTCCCATAAGGCATATGATCTTCCTTCTAACAGGGTGTCCAATGAGATGATATTGGTGTCCATAATCTTAACATAATGGATGAGAAAAGTATGGAATATATTCCAATAGCCCTCTTATCTTCTTAGGTTTTAACAGGTTTCACATCAGCAAGGTTTTGTTAGCTTATTTGCACTCTTTATCTTGTAATATCTCATACAGGGTGAGAAAACCTTGCACAAAAATAAATCATATTGCCCTTTTATCTACAGATTTCAACTTCCAAAATCTCACTTTGAAAAACAATGTATGTGGTCATTCCCAGATCCAAGTTCTGAAGTACTAGTACAGGTTATAAGGTCCTTCAATTTATTGTAGTTCTTTAAGTGTTCAATAACTATTCCTCAGTTTAAAGTTCTCTGAAAACCTTATAAAAAGAAAATTGAGACTTTGAGACTTAAGCTTACACTTTAGCCATCCATATACAATTTGGCACCAGGGTAAAAGAATGGACATCCTGACTCATCTCTGGTTGGATTACCTTTTATTTAATCTGAAGTCATGGCATTTGAAAAAACAAAAATTCTAAAAAGGGAGGAAAAAAAAAAGTTCAACTTAAAAGATGACAAAATATTCCAAACTTTTGCTTTGTTTCAATTCTGTACAGATTCCACAAAGTCTAGATATTACCAATGCCAAAATATCCCTTAAGAAAGTGCCATTTGAAGTTATTTCTTGCTTGGGCAGCAGGTACAAATCCAACTCGTATTAATATCAGATCAGAAATTGAATTTTATGGCACAGAACAGTTATTTTTCAGAAGAAAAAAAATTAAAAAAAAGAGAAACCACAAGACAACTTACAAATGTTCTTATTCCAACCAACATCATTTTCAATGTTTAGTGTACACAGCATTGTTTTTAATATATTTCTAGGTACCATACTATGACAAGTTGTGAATACACTTTGATGACTAAAGCACAAGGCAAAAAACAATCCCAAGGTGTTGGAGCCCAGCAGCCTCGTTGTACAGTCTAAATGCATTCACACTGTAGTAAAAATGACATTGCCTTTGTAGTAATCAATGCACATTAAAGTTAGCAAGAAGTCAGTTAGTGAGGAAACATTTTAGTGTTGAAGTCTAAAGAAGCGGTTACATGTTTTACAGTCATCTGAAGTCATCTCGGTGGTTTCCTGGCAGCCAACAATTGCCTCCAATAAGCTAAAGTACCTCTCTTATGGAAGTTGGTCCACATGGGAGGGCGAGCTCACAAAGGTGTAGTGTTTTTATTTTTACAGCAAAAAATGTACAAATGGCAGGAGAGAATGGGCCCCATCTCAACTGCCAAGAGATGAAATGTCCACTGAGACTCCAAGTTGGGATCAAAAATGATAAATGGGTGTAATGCTAACCTTACGTCACACTCAAAAACAGCCCAACGCCACATCAGTTACTTTAAGACCACATTAAGGTACAATAGCAAAACAAAATTCAGGTAATGGACGGTAAAAGAAAAGAAACAAAAGGTGGCCAATTAGGGGAAATCCTTTAAAAAAAAACACAAAAAAAAACAATAGGACATTAATAGAAAGGCATGACATATGGTTTGGCTGAAACACTGTGGAAGGACATGAGGAACAGGGCTAGGTTTGTTGTGATGAAGCGCATACATGCCACTTTCATAATGCCTGCATGCTGAATATTGGAAAACATTTTTTAGAGGCATCTTTTTAATAATGCTCAACAAAAAGGTAGATGTATATTGATGTGTACAGAGAAAACAAGTCAGTTTACGTTAGGAGTCCAAATTTATTTTACACTTTTAAGTATGTACTTTAGCTTTTTCTTTTCTTTTCTTCTTTTCTTTTCTTTTTAAACATGTTTGGTTGATAAACATCTCAATAAACATGCCATAACAGTAGTGTCAAAATTATGATAAGCAATGTTAAGGGGAGGGCAACAAAAAAAAAAAAAGTGGATGAGGGAGTTTAGCCAACAAAAGACTGTGTATAAAAGGAGACTGGGTAGGAAGTAACACTGTTTGCCACCTAAATCCTGGAAGTAGTGTCAACAATACGGTGAGTGGGAGTGAGCTGCTAAGTTGACCAATGGGGTGGCGAGGTTGCTTAGTATCCAGACTTCCTCAGGTACTCAGCCATTGCATGTGCTTTCTTGTTAAGATTTCCACCATGGACCGCCTCCTTTCCCATGACTAAAACCAATACTGGAGCACAAGGGGGAAAAATATATAAATAAAAAATAGACAAATGAACAAAACAGAAGAGCCCCGCCCCCCCCATACAGGGTGAAGGGGTGAGAACAAAGGTGACACAGTATCTTATCACTCTTCACTGCTATTAAATGTTTCCAAAACATTTGACTGCTTGCAGGAGAAAATCTTAACAGCAATTTTTTTTTCTCTTCTTTTTTGTCCCTCAACTTGGATCTACGTGAGCTTCAAAGCATTAAAAGCCCGAATCTCTCAAGTATTTTGCCATTGAGTAAGCCTTCTTATTCAAGCCGCCTCCATGGACGCCTTCTTTGCCCATTACAAGAACCAAAACTGAAAGAGAAAAGATGGAAAGGAAAAAAAAAAGGATAGTTAAGAAAAGTAAAAGAAAAAAGGTAAAGAAAAGACGTTGCAGATAAGAAATAGAAATGTGCACCACTTGGAATTTATAGATTCCTGTAGCATCTTGTAGCAGCTAGTGATCATGCTGCATTTCCATTTACTGTAGAAATGCTAATTGAAATTAAGAATCTTGTACTTTACATTGTAGAAACCCTGGTAACTTCTATATTTACCCAAATAAAATGCAGCTACAGAGCTTATTTGTACTGTCTGATGGTAAGAAATTATGTTTGAATAAACCACAAAGTGCTGACACACCATGCTTGAAATATCCCAAGAGGTGCAACATTTAATTAATGATCATTTAACAAAACATCATGCACTAGAGTCAGGAGAAAGGAAAGCAAAAAGTTAGTTTCTTTCTAATTCTGCTAACTAGAGGCAAACTCATGTGGCAAATTTCTCTGCTAACCAATAAACACAAGACTTCTCATCATACTGCAAGAAAGTTTGCAGCCATTTTAAAATCAATTCTGCTTTGCTTTCATGTAAATTAAGCCTTTCAAGGCTTTCAGCTTATCTAAATGCATCTAAAACATGAGAGACTAAGTCATTATTTAAAGACCCTTTTAACACCCTATACTCCTCCCAATTTGAATGTGGAACTAATTAAATATTTTTTGAAGAATTTTAAAATTTGGCTCAGACTTTATTAATTTGTATGAACATAATCAATTAGTTCTTAAAAACTGATTGTGACATACCTGAAATTAGAAAAAGGGGTCAGGATGCTTGTCAGTTACTTCTTCAAAAAATCCAATTTAAGGAAAAACCTTAGAAATAAAGTTTTATACTAAATGAAGGTTGTGAAGGTCATCTTCTGCAGACAAGATGCAAACTGCTTATGAAACCTCGCTTCAGAATTGGACTCAAGTACAATTTCATTGGACTTCAGTCTGGATTATGATGGTTGGACTTTGAGAATGTGAGAAGACCACCTAAAACCCTGTTTGCCATCAGAGCATTTTAGGTTAGTTTTATTAAAGATGGTCAGGAAGGGTCATTGTTGCAGACCACAGCCTTCAGAGTCCTCTATATATATATATATATATAAAAAAAAAAAACCATTACTTTGTATGTAAAGAACCTACCAAAACCCCAATATTGGGGTGTGCTACGATGTTTTTTAAGACTGCAGTCAATTAAAAGTGGCCCGTTCCTTAACCTCTTAACAACTTGGGTTAGACAAAGGTAAGCTACAGGTCAGATATTAACTCCTGGGTTTCCTCATACCTTAAAAACCTTAAGAGGTTTTTTCCAAGTATTTCCCCCTCAAATATGCCATTTAAGAACTACTGCTGTTGTGCCTGAGGACTAATTAGATGCAACAATAAATCTCGACAATGAGATTAAGAATTCAAAATGAAGTGTTTTAAATGGTTACATAAAAAGAAAACTATTGTTTTAATCCTCATGCTAAATGCTGACAAATTTCACAAAATTAGCCTTTTGATCACTAAGGTGCATTTCCTTTGTTATATATACTGTCCCTATTATGTTAATTAAAAAATTTGGGATGTTAAATCTTGTGGCTTTCTGAAGTATTTAAGTATAAATAAATAAATTCCCATTTCTGGAACCCCACCACATATAAGTTTAATTTTACCTTTTCCAGCTCTGCCTACAGAAATGTTATATGTAGGTTCTCCTCCCTGGCTCTTTGTCCGGATGTCCATCGTCCAGTCGCCATCATCCTGGAGGCTGTCTCTAAGGACAGAACACTTCTTTGAGCCCAGGGTGAGACCATTTGTGTAAAACGACTCCCTGTCCTTTCCGACAAGGACGTCAATTTCCTGAGACTGAAAGACAAAACACACACACAAAAGAAAACAAAAAAACAATTGGATTGAAAAATGTGCAGCTTCTTTGATAGAGGTAGCCGTTTTACTTGATGCAGAAAGTTACAAAATTATTATGTCTATAAGGCTGGGAAGTGAATCAAACCTCAAGCTATTGTTTAGGCAAGCACTTTGGAAGCACTTGGTTTAAATCTTTTCAATGTATCCATTTAATGTGGCGAGGGTTGGGTCTGGCTACCTGAAAGGTGCATCTCTGAAATAGATGCAGTTTTAATTTTGCATTGATTTTGTTGGAGTGTCATGCATTGCTGCACCTGTAAATGCAGCACAAGCACCATTTGTTAAAATGAGACTCTAATCCATCCATAGTTGATAGATTGATTAATTAAACTCAATGTAATGACAGAATATCATTTAAAAATTGTTAATGATGCTCTTCATATAAATATATATATTTATTCTTTTTTTATTTTTTTTCTCGAGTGTTCTACTGTGTCGCTATGCACCAAGCTCATTACATAAAACGAAAAGGTTCGTTTCCTTTTAGCGAACAATGCAAACAGGTGGCTGGTCTGACTGAACATAAAGGCGTGTACCGTCTGCGCTTTATTAGCCAGATTTTTGAACACCAGGTAGCCGGTAAAGTAGCAGCTTAACTTCAGCTAATCGAAGCAGCTGCGCGCACAAAAGCATGCACGTTCTGCTGCCAGACGCCGTCTGCTAGCTGCTTTTAAATTAGCCTCACGTTCACTGCTGGAGCTCCAAAAATCTTTTAAAACGTTATCCAGCAGCAAATAATTTAAGCTCCGCACACAGTCGTTATTACTGAAGTCTTGTCACAGAAGGTTTAATATGGCAGTGTTTCCCCAGCATGTCTAATATCCAACGCAGGCCCATACAAGTTAGCTTATATGAGCTAGCTCCGAAACGTTAGCTCGGTTCATTTAGAGCCTGCGAGATAACGGTTTTAGCGCTACTGAGCGTCCGCGTGGGGAAGCGCGCGCCAGGAATGGCAACGAGCAGCACCGGTTCTCTCCAATTTTTGGTCTTTTTTTTTATTACTTACCGTGATATTGTTGAATGTACCACCGGCATGCGCTGCCCAAACATATTTGGCGTCTGTACACCCAACAATGGCGCTATCCTGACAGCTGCCATCGGCCATCAGGTTTTCCACGTAGCTTTGCCAAGACATATTCAAGAAACTGACACTATAAATTTATATATAAAAAAAGACTATAGCTTTGCGGGTAATGTTACCAAAAAAGAGACAGAGTCGGGAAGGTGAACGATATCTCCAGGCAAATTTAGAGTCTCCAATCCAACCCACACTTCGACGTTGACCAAAGCGAAGGCTGGGGCAGCAAAGAAAGCCAGGGCAGTGAGGCGGCGGCTGGGTGTAGTCCGTATCAGATCACTCCGCACAATGAGCTCCCTGGCGCTTTTATGGCAGCACGCGGTGGAATAAAGAGGGACTTATCAGCTCAGCCAAGAGTCAGTGCTGCGGGTCAGAGGCGGATGCACATATGCTCATTTTATTCAGTTTCATTATTGTATTTTACAGCAGTATTTTCATGCTGTACGAAAAGGTGACAAAGACCGTCTAGTCAGACGTGCTGTGTGAGGCACTAGTGCTTCAAGACAACTAGAGTCGGGATTTTAAAATTGTTACCGACTTTTTCTTGTTTTTTAGTGAAAATTGCCATCCCGTTCTGTTTTTGCTGACTAGAAAATTTCGACTGATAATGAAAAATATAGCTCCAAAATTTAATTTACATTTTCACTGATAGATTACATTTTTATATAGCTATACATTTTTTTAATATAGCTATAAAAATGTAATCTATTACACCCATTTATATATGCAAACTCTACTTTGTGTGTATTTTTGCTTGGTGACATCATTAGAGGTAAGGGATTCAAGACATTCGTGTTTGTCACAGTTACTACTTCTTACTTTAATCTTGTACCAGCACACAAACCATTTTGTCCCATTTGTGTAAATATATTTCTGCTTCGCCAGGCCTTTCATTTGTACTCTTGATGTTTTGTGTCTGACTTCTCTGACACAAAATGGAGTCATAATGTATTATTTTTCAAAGATTTTGGATTAATTCAACCTGAGGATGTGTCATAATCCCTTTGGAAATTGATTGATTCTTAATTATCCAACTAGCCGTCTACTGTAACAATATATGTGACTAATGACAAATATCTACCACCCTAGGTAGAGTTTATCAGGGGCTATTCTCTTACATTGTACCACCTGTAAACAAACACTTATTTTCTCAAGGGTTTTTCTTTCTGTATGTGCAAGCCTACCATTTTGTCCAAACTAATTTTTCCACAATTTACATTCCTTGTGTGCTTCTGTTTCTCTATTTTTAATGGAAGTCCAAATTAAGCCTAAATAGCCTTATTTGCGCTCTTCTGCCTGAAGAGAATTACATTTTGATTCAAATGTTAAGTAATAGCCATATGGGAGGATTTGGGGCAAAACAGAGACAAATGGGACAAACAATCAGGCACACACACACCCATCCATCCATCCATCCATCCATCCATCCATCCATCCATCCATCTTTAAACACCCTTGTCCCTAGTGGGTTTGGAAGGGGTGCCGGTGCCTATTTCCAGCTGTCGTTTTGGGCGAGAGGCTGGGTCACCCTTGGACAGGTCGCCAGTCTGTCTCAACCAGACACACACTGAGACATAACAGCAGTTAGAACTGCAGAACTATGGCTCAAAGCTGCTGGCTGCCCAGCCATGTTACAGTGAGGCTCAAAGGGTATTTACTGTTTTCTTAGTGATTACTGATGTATTTGTTTCCTTAATTTGGTCCCTTTGAGCTTTTCATAGTCGTGCACCAGTTCTGCAGGAAAAACAGTTAGAGCTTTAAAATGATCTCAATAGATTGCATCAACCAAAACAAGCAATTTTTAAAACAGCACAGTTAAAAATGATTGATCATGGAATCATGATCAATTATGATTTCCACAAACCACTTCCATGTAGTTCATAGATGCCAACATGTGTGCAGCTTTTTCCTAATCAGGTGTTGTGGTAATGCGCCCTCCCTGCCCTGGTCCTTCTGAGTTTTGGCTGCCAGAAATATCGGGTGCTTTGTGTGGTGCAGTTTCCCCTGGTTGGTGCTGGGTCATCTTGCTTTCAGGTGTTGGAGGGAGCATTGGGGTACGGAGGAGTCTGGGTTACAGAGTTGATGATGATGTGGCAGGGTCAGGGAAGATTGGTGCCCTGCATCTCTCCCTGTGCCTCTTTGGCTTGGGGGCTGCTGCTCCTTTCCTTCATTGATGACCATTTGTGGTGTATGGCTGACCTGGGGCATTGCCTGGTGTCTGTTTGGGGATGTTGTGGCCTTCTGGAGTTGAATATAGCTGTCCTTTGATGCCCTCGGGTGCGGTGGTTTGCAGGCCTTCCACCATCCTCGCCACTAACAACTGTGCAAATCCAGTCGACAAGTTTATCCACATACAACCCCTCCGACACAAAGGCAATTATTTCAACACATACATCACCAACTTCTTTTACTCGTAATTTCTCATTGTTTGTGTTGCTGGTCTGCAACAAAGAACAAGAGTGTTTGTCTATGCCTGCAGGGGTTCACACTTTGTGCCAACATTTAAGACATCTTTAAAAACTATCAATGTCACGAATAGCACCACATACAGATGTTTCTCTACTTACTCCCCAGCTGACAGTTGAACAGATTTGTGTCACTGCCTTTGGGCAGTATGGTCAGAACACACAAATCCAAGCAAATTCAATCCAGTCTACCATTTATGTGTCAGAAGCCTCTGGGACCAGTGATTACAGACCCTGGCTAGTCCAGCCCTGAGAGTCTCAATTATTTGATCTAATTGAGATACAGTTGTGGCACTTCCAGACACAACTCCAAAGGTTTAGCATTGAGAGGCTCTCATGCAACTCTGCTAGGATCAAATGTGAAGCAATGATGTTATAAATTATTATTTTTTTCAGCAACAACAAGACACCCAACCAGTAATAGCTGACATGGGCCATTTGGGTAGTTGTCCAAGTTGGCAATTAGAAAGTAGGATCTGTGGAGGTACGTTTCTGTGCAGGTTGAAATGTGCAATTATTTGTTTTTCTGAGCAGGGTAAGTTGGAGAGCAGACCGGTGACGACTGAAGATGATCACACGGATGAAGACGACCATGAAACACAGAGGTCCAGAATAAGCAGCCAGTGAGGTGCCTAGAGTGAGGCACCTCATTGTCAAGGAGCAAAGAAGGCATTTAATCCTCTCCCGGCAGATGTTGCAGATTTGCAGATTTGCAACAGCTCAGTGCTACTCAGCTAGTCTTTGCAAGTAATTTGAGCCTGAGAGGGTAAAAAAAAAAACAATAAACTCTCTGGAAGTTACACTCAGGAGTTGGCTTGACTCTATCAGTGACGATTAGGTGTCAGGCACCAATTGGTGGCCTGCCAGCTCACTAAAAACCAAAACCACACAAAACACTGCTTGCCATCAGGTATGTAGCAAGCAGCAGGTGAAAACACAAAAGATTCTAAGAATCACTTTGGTTTTGCATTGTGTAGCAAATGGGGAGTTGTCCCACTAAGAGCTAACTACTGAGAGAAGGGAGATTATGTTATAAGCCTGGTAAAAACCAGCCCCTTGTTCTACACTTTGCTTGTACAGAGGGACTCTACTGTGGACTACTGAGAATCGATTGTTTTGGGAAGTGTGGACTCTGTTTGGGTTTTACATTTTTCTTGACCGTTTGCCCATTGTAATGCACAACGTGCCAGAAATTGCTTGGACTGTAAATAACTATTTCCCACCCACCACCAACAGAAAAGGGATGACAGTTAGTGTTAATGCAATATAGAAAGTCGTCGACATTGTTCACAGTTCAAATACTATAGAAGTATTTGAAATACTTTCTGGGAGAAAGCCCAGACTCAGTTGTGACGTGTCATTAGAAGCAAGCAGGATAGCATAGGAAGGCAATGGACAGGCTTGCTCTATGCTGCAAGGCACTGTATTGAATTCCCTGAATAAAGTTGGGTTAGTTAACACAAATCAGTTTATTTATTTATTTATTTATTGTTAGTTTGCACTGGTCTATTACATAAATATCCAAGAAAATAAATAAAACTTTTAGGGTATAATGTGGAAAAAAGTGGCATAAATACATTTATAAGGCCGTGTAAATCTGACACACCAGCAACAAATTTTGATCAAGAGAAAAGAAGAAGATGTTAGTTACAGCTGACCTGCAGAGGAGCATCAGAGGAGGACAGGTGAATGATTGGAGGCAGAAGTAAGAGAGTTTACTCAACACTGTGTTAAAGTAGTTTTTATTCGTTTTGCTTGGAAAGGAACAAAACGAAAAACAAATTCCCTTTATGGCCAGCAGAGGGAGTGCTGGCTCAAAAATGGACAGAAATAAATCTATCTATCTATCTATCTATCTATCTATCTATCTATCTATCTATCTATCTATCTATCTATCTATCTATCTATCTATCTATCTATCTATCTATCTATCTATCTATCTATCTATCTATCTATCTATCTATCTATCTATCTATCTATCTATCTATCTATCTATCTATCTATCTATCTATCTATCTATCTATCTATATCTATCTATCTATCTATCTATCTATCTATCTATCTATCTATCTATCTATCTATCTATCTATCTATCTCTATCTATCTATCTATCTATCTATCTATCTATCTATCTATCTGTCTATCTATCTGTCTGTCTGTCTACCTTTAATGTCCCCCATTTGTAGATTATTTTCTCTACAGCAAAATATAGGTTTAGTCTATGTTTTGCTGTGTAGACTAAACAAAGAAGCTTTTACTTTTGAGAGCTCTTTAAATCCTCTATACCAGACATGCAGTCTTCTTCTTCTTCTTCTTTTTATTACAATAGGTCTCCCAACCGTCAGGGACCAAGATAAATTATTTTCTCTGTGACTTGAATTTAATTGACTTTTTTTCATGTTAGTTTTATAAAAACAATTCAAAGGGTATTTTCTGCCTCCTCGTTTCCTTGCATGTAGCTTTTCAGTTTTTCAGTATATCCTACAGCAATGAGAGGCCAAGCTGGTGACCAGTGCAGGGAGGAAATACCAGACTGCTGTCTCATTTTCAACTGTGCTGCTCAAAGTTGAAAATGCACCAATGCATTCCCCTCACAATTCAGTTCAAATTCAATGATATTTCATTAATCCCGAAGGAAAATTTTACATTACAAACGTGACTCCATTTTATGGGAAATAAACTGGATTGCCAAGAGGCATGGGGCAGCAATGAGACACTCGACCCAACACTAGTTTTATTTACCTTTGAAATATACGAAGAGAAAGAGAAATCATTGTAAGCAAGCTGAGAAACCAACCAAAGTGGTTCTCCACAGAAAAGTCTGACTAGAACCATAATTTAGACCAAAATAGAAAGAAAAAAAAGTTCCTGTTGCTTAAGGAGAAGCAGGCTTGGGCTGTGGATTCAGCGATACAACCATGAACTGAAAGTAGGGTTTAGTTACAAGCATTTCATTTCTTCAGAATGATGATGATGCAACTTTCAAATGAAGAAAAGTGTGTTAAAACGCCTCCTCAGCGAAGGCACAGCAACAACAGCTTGGATCTCAGCTCGATGGAAACTGATGGCGCAAAGTGATGAGATGCCTGTCCTGCAAATTTCACATGTGAGCTTAGTTTCAGAAGTGAAGCCTCATTAAATAAACCAATTATTTGTCCTCACTGATTCATCCCAGAATTGTTCCTTCTACTTGAACAAGCCAAAAGGCATAAAAACATACACCAGCAACTTCTGTGATTCATTCATATTTTACTACAAAACAAACTTAACTGAACAGCCTTTAAATGTACTGATTCCATATTTTCCCCAAAGGGGTTGTAAATGGCCAAGAAAACATTCCCATCATGAACTGTGCTCCTAACACAGGACAGAATGTCAGGACCCCTGTGTAAACCCTGTGGGGTCTGAATCCTCCACGCTGACCATATTAGTTGTTACACAAGCTCTTGTGAAATGCAGAGACTGAATGCAAATAAAGGGATTAGAATAATAAACCCGCACAAGGTAGTGCCCCTTTAAAAACCCTCCCCTTAGTTTTTATGAGGCTGCTGCAGTGAGCTTCTTTGGAGATGTTCTGGTGGTAAACACCACTGGCATTAACACTGCAGTGTATAGAACTACAGAGCCAGAGTCGATGCCTTCAGGTAACCTCTGATGCAGATAGTAATTTTTATAAATATATTCCAGTCACGAATGCACTGTGCCTCAAAAAAGTATTCATATCTCCTGGCCCACAGACCTTAACGCATTTAGGAAGAAATAAAGCTTTATTTTTTCTAAACAAAAAATCTATTTAATGAGCTGTGGAGTCAAATTTCCCACTTGGAGTGTCTCTGAATTTATCCAATGCTGACTTTGAGACCTAATGTGGCAGTTCCTTCAATCAACAATAGTACTGATTAAGGCAATGATGTAGCCATGTTGGAATCTCAACTTCTCCGACTATTCTAAACTAGAACACTGTTAACTAAGATGTAACATCATTCCACCATAAATGTGCATGCCACACTTTTCAGATTTTAAGTTGAACCCAAATATTTCCATACATCAAATAAAAAGACACACTAATTTTTCTCACTGTCTGAAGATAAATCAAACATCTTGGTTTAGATTAGTTAGAATTGCTGAAATGTGCTGAATGGCGACCTGTCCAGGGTGACCTCACCAAAATGTCTCCCCGAAATGTCAGCACCCCTCCTGACCCTGCCAGGGACAAGGGTGTAAGAAAATGGATGGTTGGATGGATGGATGGATGGATGGATGGATGGATGGATGGATGGATGAAACTAATCTAAAGTAAGAGAAGAAGGGTCTGATTTAACTTTAACTTTAACTCAGTAACAAAAAAGTATGTCTTCTTATTAAATATATGTAAATATCTCATTTCAACTGTAACATCTGTAAAAAACAAAAGAAACAAAAAATAAAAATAAGAAATAAAAGGAAATAACGGGGAAAACGATGTGCGGCATGTTGTGTGGGTCTATTACAGAAAATATGAACACGGTATTATGATGTTTGTGTCAGAATGTGAAAAAGTTCTGGGTTGTGAATACCTCTGCGTGTCACTGCACAGGAAAACATTCACATATTTTATGCTAATGTATTTATGCATTAGATAGTTACAATAATAGATCTATAAATGCTTCAAATCAGTGCATGTGTAACGTATATTTAAAGTAAAGTAAAGTAAGTACTTGAGATTATCTCAGTCATATTCACTCCTTCCCTGCGCACGTAAATTGACTAGTCATTCGACAATAGTAATTTTTCCGACGGTTCTTGAAAGCAGCAGGAGGAGTGATTCACAAACTGGCCATACGTAAACACTCCTGCGCTGAGCTCGCTGCTTACCCACGATGCAGCGCGGCTCCACACAACATAGCCATCTTGTCAGGAGAGAGGGAGGGAGCTGTCGGCGCTGTTAAGATTACCACTTGTTTCAAGCGGAACATTTTGAGGTCTGTTCGCTCTTCCACTATAGATAGTAACAAAGTAAAGTGTTCTTGACGGACGTCTTGACGCCAGTGAAGTAGCTGAGTGCGCTTTCGTGAAGATGTCTCGTATACTTGTACCGACGTAGAGGGGGAGTGTGCGGCGGCAGCCACTTGGCTTGAATTGTTAGCTAGCTCAGCTCAGGGCTGCGGGGCCTCCTTAGCTCAAAGTAGCTCCTGCAGCTGGGCAACACTCTGCGACAACGGCCGGCCGACGAGTGGACAGCCGGGGAAGCAGCAGGCCGGTCCGGGCTGACTTTAAATTCAGTCGTCGTACGAGCAGCTTTCGGCGGTGTCAGGACCCCCTTGTACTGCTGGACAAGGAGACGCGGAGTGTGGAGTTCAGCTTCATGAAACGCAACAGGAGACCGAGAGAGGAAGAGGATGGCGCAGATTCATCTTGATTACAGCTAAATAGGAAGAGGAAAACCAGACCCGAGTGTTGGAAATAAGACGGAAAGCTTCCACCAGCTCACCTCTTTTTGAAGGGAGGAGCAAATAAAAACACAGCCATACGGGACCCGGAATCTGACGGAACAACATGTCGAAGATGCCGGCCAAGAAGAAGAGCTGCTTTCAGATCACAAGCGTGACTCAGGCCCAGGTGGCGGCCGTGGGGGCCGCCGACGACACCGAGAGTCTAGACGACCCGGACGAGTCGCGAACTGAGGACATGTCGTCGGAAATATACGACGTGTCGCGAGCTGAGTACGAGCCCGCGTGCGAGAGGAGTTCCTCCGACGAAGCTCTGAATAACGTCGGAGAGGCGGAGGCGCCAGCAAACGCACCTCAGGCCACTCTGCCGCCTGGGCCGGGAGGTAACACAACCGAACCGAGGAAGGTTGTCGGCTCCGGTTCGGTTCATGGCGGTCAGAACCAGCTGGGTATTTCCCTGACACCTGGAGCGGTCCAGCTTCAGCCAACTGCTACAGCCAGCCCCAGCGTGTCAGCCAATACCTCCCAGCCTGCTGGAGGGTCCAGCTCTGCAACCTCCACGGTGAGCTGCTCATCACGCTTCAGGGTCATCAAACTGGATCATGGTACCGGAGAACCATTCCGGAGAGGCAGGTGGACTTGTACAGAGTTCTACGAGAAGGACTCAGGGACTGACAGCATAAGGCACGGCAGCGTAACCCTGGACCCTGCTGCAGAGAGGGATAGTGGGCTTGGACCTTCAGTAGGTTCCACAGTGTCCCCGGCTACTCACTCTGGGCCTGGCTTGGGGTCCATGGCGGAAGGATCTCCCGCTTTGCTACCGCCACAAGTTCTGCATCAGAACTACAGCAACCAGCAGCATGCAGGCAGTACTTCGGCCACACACACTTCCTTCTCCAGCGTGAAACCCGTAACCCTTCCTTCTCAGTCATCCATAGGGGGTCTTCAGCCTCACGCGGCTCAGAGCATGCTTCCCGTCGGACAGAACGGTCTGCCCCACTCTGAAGTTCTCATACAGAAGTCCCCAATGATGCCTCCTCCTTATGCGCCCCAACAGCCAGTTCCCGGAGTCCACCCGATCGCCAGCCAGACGTCAGGACTGGCACAGCACCAGACGGAGTATTACCCTCAGCCTCAGCATGCGTCCATACCTCCAGGACTTCCCGGGGGAACACAGGCTCTTCCGGTGTCGAGCCTCTCTGCTGTGACCGGTGGACACATCCCGGCTCCGGCTTCTGCAGTGAGTCAGGCTGGAGATGTCGGTCCAGCGGTGGTGGGGGTTGTCTCTTCAGGACCACCAGCGCCTCAGACTGTAGGGTTTGGGGTCCCCGGGGGGCCCGTTTTGCTTCCGCTTCAGACTGTGACTCAGTACGCCCCAGCCGTACAACCTCAGCCCATGGGCCACCCCGTGGTTACCGGTGTGCAAAACGTGCCTGCAGTCGGAGGTGGTTGCAGTGCACCTGCGAGCGCTGCCGCCACCGCCGCCACTGTGCTCAGTGCCTCCAGTGCGACCATGCCAAATGCGACGACTTCCAGCTTGCCTCCTGGTTTGATAGCCCACACCAAGACTCCGGGGTTATTGGGGGTGCAGGGCCTCCCTGCCACCGGGTTCGGACAGGTAGAGGCAAGCGGAAGGAAGTCAGAGGGAGCGGCCATTGCACAGTCTCCGGTTGTGTCTGGGAGGGACGGCGGGAAACCCTTCATGCCTGAGGCCCTGCAGCTCTCCACTCCTACTGTCACAAGCCTGTTTGGAATCCTACCTGTCGATGGGGAGGAGGACAGGTAACGCATTCTTGTTTTCTCATGTGAAGTATTTGCAGGTTTTTTTGAGTCCGACAGAATCATTGTCGACTGTGGCGCGTCTCCCCGTTAGAAGCTCAGTTCAGAAACATAAGTTGGAAAGAAATGTACTGCACAGATCACAGGAAGCACTCGTTGCTCATCTGTCTCATCAGGTGAAGGACCTGGTTTACCTTCACCTCAAATCAGATGGATGGGAGGGAAATGCAGTAGAGATCAGGAAGAAAATGTTGAAGTCTAGTTTGGGCCAAAAGAAAAAAAAAAAGATAGAGAATCAACACTTGAGGCCAATGCCAGGAACAAGCTGTTGAATATAGAAAACCTCTTGTTTACAACTCAGAGCCTCTCTGTGTGTGTATGGTTGTGTGTTTGAATGTTGCAAGGGTAATGCGTTTATTTATTTTTTTAACAGAAAAGGACATCTAGTCTCGTCGCACACATAAGTTTGATTTGACAACAGACGCACCGATTAGGTTTTTCTCCCTGATTCGTACCGATAATCGGTTTTCCTCACGCATATTAATGTTCTGAATCCAACAAGAAATGAAAGATTTACAAGCCTACCCTCATCTGTTCCTTGAAACGCTACATGACGTTAGTTGATGCTTTTATAGAGGGACAAATGGTGGTAGTCTTTTGTTCTGATGCGTTTAATGCAGGGGTGCGGCCCTCTGAAGGATTCTGGGTGGCCTAACCTCAATTCGAGAATGGAGCAAATCTGGCCTGCAAGTACCGCTGGTTGGTGCAAGGCAGACACCGTTTCATTCACCACTAAAAAAATAAGAATAGCTTTTCATTTGTTAGAGAAGTTTTTGCATGCATCTTAGTTTTGGAGTAACTAGAACCAAAACTATTGATTTTTGGTTCTCAATAGCAAAACTTGAAGCCCAGTAAGAAAAAAATCAAGCCAAAAAATTTAAAAACTGCAGGCCTGTTTGATACAAAATAAATAATGCATGACTTTTTAAATGTTTTTTGGTATCTACAATGATTTGGTGGTCTGCTTTCAGCAGAAAATTGACTGTTTCTTTATTATTGAGCAGGTGAAATAAAAAGAGGTACATCTTGTGCGTTTAACTTCCCGATTTATGCCAGTAAGTTTGGACGCCACTGATTTATTTTCACATTGCTTTGGAGCTGGCTTTATTCTTATATGCAAACGGTGACGAACAATAAACTCTAATTGATGAAAAGGGGCAAAATAGATTAGTTGTTGATGATCACAAAGCTGATAGAGAAAAGATAGTCTTGTTCCGGTTCTAGTCTGTTGATTGGTGCATCTTTAAAATGAGCATTTAACTTCCTAAACTAGTAGGAAGGAAAATGTAACAACTGCAAAATGGAAAAACTATCAGAAATGTGGAGTGCAGATTATCCACACGATCAAAGCAGGAGTGCCCAGGTGCTCTAATCAAATTTGTCAAAAATAGGTGTTACATCAAAAAAAGATATTTCACTTGAATACGCGAGACCTTTTTCGAGACGAAACCCCAGTTTGAAGTATTAATCTGGAACAAGTTGTGGAGTAAGCAGCCTGTTTTAGACAACGTGAGCACTTCCTGTTGTAGAGAATAGTTTCACTTTTCTTGCTCAGTGCGCGCCGGTGTCACTTTTTCTTTTCGTCCCCCTAACAATTTATTGGTCCGGACATGCTGCTCTGACACAGGCGATCTCTTATCTTGAGGTTTGCAGTGAGTGTTGCCACAGTAATGCATGCGTGTTTATAACAGAAAAAAAGCTAACAGACTTCACAAATTGAACCTGACCAAAGCCACTTCTTCTGTTTCCTAACAGACCCCGGGATGTGTGTATTCTGATGGCTTTTAAGGCACAGCTTAAAAAAAAGAAAACTTAGCCCTCGTTGCCGTGACTTAGCTCACTGTTCCGGTAGCCTTGGGCTAATCGCGGACTCCCTGTAAATGAGCTGCATGCCTGACCTTTTAATAAGCCAGTTCCTGCTCAGAAAAAATACTTTGGAATATAAACAAACAAAGAGTGTTTGAGTTTGTGTTGCCACACTCGTGACTGCACGGTTTGCACTTTTACCTGAGCTTTTTAGTGCTTTTAAACATAAACGGTTAAGAACCAGAGACCCTTGTTTTGTTTGTTTTTTTTTCTTACTTTTATAACTTATGTCAAGGTAAAGACTTCCGGCAGCAAACGCTTCTGGATGCCGCTGGCTTTTAATGTCTCCAGATACAAGGGCACTCTCCTTCCTGAAGTAATCTCTCAGTTCTCAGCTAGTAGATGGCACACAAAGGCGGAAATGATACAGTGCCTGAAATCTCTCAGTTGTTTCCATTTACAGTCACACAGAGGTGCCAGAATCTAGAACAGGCAGGAAGTGCAGTCTGTAGGGTCCTGGCAGCAACAGTTTTATTGTGCTTCACATTGATGTGGGTAGTTTACTGAGCTTGGAACTAATTTCAAAGTCTAATAAGTCTTTTTTTTCTCTTTTAAGTCAATTATTTATTCTCATGTGGTGTCATGTGAGTTAACCAGTTTCCATTGGTGATCGATATAATTCCTACTAAATTAACCTTATACGATGGTATAAGAAAGCAAAACATATATGCCTCAATTAATTGATATTTGAAACAAAGAAGCAACAATTATTCCTACTGATTCTAAATTACACAATTGACTACAGTTCCAAAACTCCTATGTAAATCATTGATTTAATTTTGTTTTATTATACTAAGCAAATGTATATGGTAATTTTCTGGGAAAGCATTCTGATTAGGGGCAGATCAATAATGAGTTGATTTCAATTAATTTGTCATTGATTTCTAAACAAGTAAAAAAGTTTAATGCAATTAATTACGTTAACATTTTTTTTTTTATGTACATACAAAAGTTTTGACCGGAAACTTTGTATTCGAGTGTTTCTGGTACACCCGTAAATCTGACGCACAAGCAACATTCGTAAAGACTGAGCTGTTTCTCTTGGTCCACGGAGGAATCATTTCTGTTGCAAATAACCATCTGATGGGACTCTGGAAAAGATTGTTGTTGTGCTAAAATCAATTAGCCTGTCAGTAAAGATATTAAAGTCTAAAATAGCATCTCAATGCTTAACATATAGCAGCAGCTTCAGATGCAAATGTCACTACTCACATTTCTAAAGTTAATAATCAGGATTTCCTGAAATCCTTCAGCGCTAAATGACTGAATGAGCATTTTGCACCAATCTAGTGGTGGAATAACCTGAATAACAAATAAAAAAAATGATAAATATTTTTGTTTTGGAGCTCATATGTGTGTTTCTTTAATAATTTAGCCACAAAATAAGTTTTTGAATTGAAAATGTTGCTAATTTTTAAGAATAATTATATCTCGGGATATTATATCTTGTACATTTATCAACTCCTCAAATACAAATCTATGAAAATTTGTTGCATATTTTAGTTTAACTAGTGGCAGTTCATGATCAAAATTTATATCATTTATCAGAAGCTCTTCCGTTTGATTGGGAGTATTTAACCCATAAAATTAAGTTTGTCAATTCCGAACACTTTAAAATCCACAAGTAGTACTGCGAACAATTTGGATTATGACCGACAGGCAGAGTGAGTTCTGCCTGATGTCGGTGTAAACTGAAGTGTTCTGGTATAGTTTCCATGCTCTGGTTCATCCCGCCACACAGATCCAGATGTAGATCGATTTAAAACGTCCAAGTTCTACTAAATCTGCAGCTGTCCGCTCCATCCTCTACCGATACAGCTGTAATGGGAAGAAAAAGTTCCCCATTTCTGTATCGCACTCAGCTGGTTTTCTGCCATGCAGCTTCATATTCAGAAGTGTTCAACTTCTCCGTCGCATTTTGCACACCTGTGACGTTTCCCATCAGTGCGAATGCTGCGTGAAAGACCAAAAAGGGCAAGAAAGAAAACTTTCTGGATTAAAAGCGTGTTGGCATAGCAACACTGACACATGTTCAGCTGCTCTTTTTAGTTTTCATCCTCTGCTCTCTTTCATCCGAACACAAGAGGGAGGGGAGAGTTGGGAACTCAGCACAGCTTTCTGTGCTGCATTCAATTGCGCTTGGACAGCGCAGCGAAACAGTAGTTCAGATGACATGTACGTTTAAATTCCACAGCACCGTTAAATACGTACCCTTAAAAAAACAGCAAAAAAAAAGACCACAGTATTTTTAACTAATGTGAATTAAAATGTTGAAGTCCCACATTAAAGTCATTCTTTGAGGATTTTTTAAAGTAATGAGCTACAACAACATTTAATTTCTGTTTGGAAAGTAAATGTTTATCAAGACAAAAGTAAATAAAAATTCTGATAAGAAATTTCTCACAATAAATGACGAACGATGGTACAAAATGCCCATCCCCTTGCTGTGTGTAAAAACAACCATATTTATCTTTCTTGCTAAGAAAAAGTGCAGCATTTCATGCTACACAATGTGCAGCAGCAAGTGGAGGAGGGACAGTTTCACAGAAAACTCTATCCACTGCTGCTTTGATACGACAGGAAGATTTTGAAGGCCTCGTGACTTAAAGCAGTTTGTGTTCTTTCTTCCTTGTGTCAATTTGTTTAAAGTTTGTTTATATTGAAATGCTATGGAACTGGTTTGTACTTCCTGTTTCTCCTCCGCAGTCTGAGGAGGTCGAGGCTGTGGCAGAGAGAAATATGCTTTGGATAACGATGGATGACGAAACCAGGTCATCAACGCTTTGTCCAAATCAGCTTTGATATGCATCTGATATTTAACACCGGCTGTTATTATTATTACGCCGGGACCAGCAGCAGGCCTCCTGGTTCTGTAACCAGGCTTGTGTTCAGACACATGTTCAGCTAGTAGGGGGTCTCGTCTCCATGCTGATAAGAGGAAGGGGCTCTTATGGCAGCCAGCGCGTATCATGTCTGCAGCAGTGCTCTTTCCACTGTGCCCCTATTCTCCTGATAACGGGGGGTGTGTCGGCCAACTTGTTGTCTCGTTACGACGCGTTGTTTCTCTGCGATGTGTTCGGGGAACGTTTGGGTGATGGTGATCAATCAGAGGCTTTGCTGCTGCTGCTGCTGCTAGTGAAAATTGCTGGATGACAATCTTGTGCTCATCTGGTATCAGAGACTATTTCACTCTCTGAAATAGTCTGATGGCTGATTGGCTGATTTCAGTGGTGAACTGTGAGCATGTTTTCATCTAACGCTGAAATTAAAAATAGTGGCCTTACTGGTAATGGAATGGTTACTAATGGCAGAATAATTTGTATATATTTATATCCTTTATAGAGAAATCAGCATAAATTTGTAAAAATAAAAGAAAAAGTTGCCTGAAGTTTAAAACTGGCCGATGTCAATCCGATACAGAAAAATGGTACTGAATTAACTTAAAACTTTTTTCTTTTTTGAAAACACAGACATACATTTACTGAATTAAAGAAACCGAAACTGACAAAAAAAACAATAAATGGAGTGCCATAAAATATAAACTGCAACAAACTTTCTTTGAAATGATTCAGAAAGAGCAATTAGAATAGAAAGCATAGAATTAGACTGAATAGATTTGCCCTTCTAGATGGGGCATATTGTCACAACAGCCAATCTAGAATTTTTTTCAGCAGTTCTGTCAGAGATTCTGATATCATCTTTAGCACTGGGCTAGCTGTGTCCACAGCTCTGAGCTGGGGGATGCTAGCAGTTCCTGTTCCTGGTCTCGGTGTTGCTGTGGACGTGTGGGTGTCGCAGTGACACCAGGGCAGCGTGTGCAAGTGTGTGTTTCCCTCCGTGGCCTCCACTCCTCCCTGCTACATCCTGTTTTCAGCCCTCCACCTTCTATTCACTTGATATTCCTCAGCTCGCCCCCCGCTTCCAACTCCGAGGCCCTCCGCTCGCATCATATGACGTTTGGTGGGCACATTTATCTGGAGTTACCTCACAGAGAGGTTAGTGTGTGTGTGTGTGTGTGAACGCTCTCTGTGTAAACAAGGAGGATTTGACATGCTCTGTGGATCCTCTGAGCCGTTTCATAAAAGAAAGATGTGTTGTTCTGGTCGGACCGATCCGGCTGGTATGAAGGTCCGCCGACTCGGCTTCAGTCATCACCTCCACGCCCCGGCCACTCGGTTCAAGGTTTAACTGGGGTGTGTTGTTGTGTGCGCTAGATAAGTTGGATTCTCAGTAAAGTTGATGTTTGGGAAGTAAAGTAATCAAATAATTAATAAAGATTGCCCTTCAGTAGGAGTTGGCAGCATGGATTTAAGAGCTTTAACTGTATGACTGTGACTAGCTCCACAAATACAAATATTGTTCCACACTGAAAACTTTTACCATCTAGCTTTGGTAGGCAGACCAAACAATCGCTAAATCATGTTAATGGAAATTGTTGCACACGTTTTAATTTATTGTGATGAACTGGTTTATTGCTTATTGCCACAGTCCTAGTTAGAAGCGAGTCATTATGATTCGCTGAAGAGTGAAAGGGAAGGATCATGTTGTGATTGGATGACGTCAACCTTCAAACGTTTGCCAAAAAACAATTATATTGATTTGTTGCTAGGTCTTTGACTTGCTTTTGGGCATTTTTTTTAAACCAATTTTTCAGATCATTCTTCCTCCAATATGGGTTTTATCTGCTTTGAACCATGAGCTCTAAACTGAAAGAACGGAGGGAAAAACAGTCTTTATGTGCTGTAGATATCTGCCAATGTGCTTCGTCTTTTTCTTCATTTCTCTTTTGGTTTTCCTCCTTCCATCCTTCTCATTTATGGTTCTAGGTCTTGGATTTCATATTTTGGCACCGTTCGACGCAGGCTTTTCACAAAGAGCGGCTTTCATACATGATATTGACATGTTGTGTTTCAGACTCACAAAGAGCAGCATTGAGAGGCGAGCGCTCGCTGCTTCAAAAACAGCAGAACGATGACTCGGGTTCTTGAGGAGGACTTTGAGTCATCTGATTTGGTGGATTTGGGCCGACAGCAGAGACGTACAGAGCTCTTAAGTTTCGGCTGCGGAGGAGGGGAGTTCTCTCTGGAGGTGTACGTCCGCCACACGTGTGGATGTGCGCAGGTTTTTTCTCTTTTTTTCTCTCTCTTTTGCTCCAATGCCCGCAAAGTGATTTTAAGCAGAGCTGTAGCAGAGAGCGAGAGTGTTTAGTCATGAGGTAATGTGACAGAGGCAGTTTGTGCCAGAGGTTTCTAGGAAAGAGCCTTGGCTGCTGTAATATTCACACACATGCTGTAGATCAACTCCACAGTGTCTGTGTGTGTGTTGCGCACACGTGCGAAGGTGGGACGGGACCAGTTAGTTTTGTTAAAGACGAGCAGGCTCTGTGTGTGTGTGTGTGTGTGTGTGTGTGTGTGTGTGTGTGTGTGTGTGTGTGTGTGTGTGTGTGTGTGTGTGTGTGTGTGTAAAATGAGTGCCTGGGAGGTCAAGAGGGCAGTAGTGGGGGGGTTTTCTTCCCCACCCCCAAAATCCATCCCTCGCTATGGAACACAGTGTCCTTGTAACAAACTAAAAGTAAATGTAAGAATGCGCTGAGCGGGAATTTGTTTCCGATTTCTGCCTCTCGTGTCAATACGGCTTTTAGACGCGTTTAGTTTTGCTAAAAAATAAAATAAAATAACTGCATTTTGAATATTTCTTCAATGAAACTATGTTTCTGATGCAAACATAGTTTTTAAGAAAAGAGTGGAGTGTCTCTGTACAGTACGGGGACATTTACTAATTTAAGATAAAATAATTAAAAAGTAGGACAGAACAATGTGGCTGAAGAAACGTCTCATAAACATTTCATGTAAGTTTATTACTATTTATTAACTATTTTTTATTGAGCTAATTTTGATTATGACGTGATTCAGTGATATTTTTTTTGCCACAGGGTTCGGTGGCAAGACGTGTAACTGCTGCTGTGCGTGTTACGCGACAGGTTGTTGCTAGGTACCCGGAGAGGGACTGAGTTAGTTGATGTCATCAACCTTCGCTGGTCGTTAGGATTTTCCCTGCCTGCATCCCCCAGAATGCCATTCGGTTCTGGATCGAAGCTCAGAAAAAGGGTTTCCGTTGAGCCAGTCACTCTAAATATCAACCAGTTTTGGACACCAGCCGGCGATTCATCTCAAGTTAAAAATCTAAACCAGATGTCCAAAGAATCGTTCCTTGTTCGTTCAGTTATAAACATCCTGGCATTTTTGTCATGTCTGATTTTATTCTCAGTGTCTGGTTTAAAAAGTGCAGGATATCTGATCGTACAAATATTTTTCATACCAAAATGTTTCCATCTCCAAAATTTGAAAGCGGTCTTGTTTCAAATTCTTAACATTTTCACATTAAGAAGTTAACATGTGAAAATGATCCTTTTTTTTTTTCCCCAAGTAGCTTGTGAGACTCCAGTGAACCGGCTGGAGGAAGGAGGCCCATAAAGTTCAGCACCCCTTCCTGCTACATTGCACTTTAACGTCACATTTTCTGATCGCCCTTAGCGTCACACTGACGATATCACACGGTTACCACAGCAACATTAAAGTCTTGTAATGGGATTCAAAGTTGGTAAAAGTATTTCCAGTTCGGTGTGTTTTCACTGTTTTCTCTCTTTCTCTTCACTGTTTCTCTTCTCTTCCTCGGATGTGGTTGACACAGGAACCCCTCCACGGCTTTCTACCAGGCCTTCCAGTCTGGAAGCAGATTAAGAGACTCAAAGGCTCACAGCGATAGGTACAGTACCGAGCTGGATTGGACTGGGCCGGCCTGCCAGACTGTAACAAAGCGCGTGCAGTGTTCAGCAGCAGTGAGCTTTGCTTTTTGACACGTGCATGGATTGAGTTTGGAAACAAAGCTTGGCAGCGGACGCGGCGCTGGCCGCCAGCTGTCTCAATGAGATCTGTCTCGCCCTGTTAACCCCCTGCAGACATTCTCCTGAGCTTCCTGTGACATCATATAACACCTTTGTCGCTTAAGAGATGATGAGGCGTTGCTTTCTTGAGCTCTGCTAACATTTCTTATAGAGCTATCCACCAGGATAATTGTTCTCCTCTTGAGTTTCAAAGATGAACAAAAGTATGCAGAGTCCAGAGAGGCCAACTCAAACTGTTGGACAGATAATCGGATTAAAAACCAGTTCAGCCAGTCCTTATGGGGGGGATTTCACTGCTTTCTATTCATCTTTTAAACACCTGGAGGCACTTTGAGCAGCAGTAAGAGATCCTTAGTGGGCCTCACAAAAAAAAAGTAATTCCTCTTGAAATATGTTTTGTTGGGATTCTCTGTCAAAAGTAGCACGTAAAAATGGAGATGTCTCCAAATTCTGCATATAAAATCTGAAAAGTAGTGTGTATATATATTTTCCATTTTCTATATCATTAAGTTTGAAATGTATTTGTCTAAAACCTTAAAATGTCTTCAATTCATTCAAGAAAACATAAGTGGGTTTTAAACATGTTAATCACATGTCTTAAGACTATTTAGCCTTATGTATCTTTTATCTTGTGGGACGTTTCACTCACTGCGCAGTGTGACTCAAGGTGATTCAGGCTACCGGTAACTAGCTGTTTATGATAACTAGCTTTTTTTTTTTTTTTTTTTTTACATCTGTAAGTGTAAATTTATCAGAGTTCATCTTCGCCACTGACTCACTGCTGTTGCCAACCCGTAGCGATGCTAGGTCCTTTCTGTATTGGGGAAAAAAAGAGAAAACTTGTCATTGTGGGGTTTAAGACTTTACAGCCACTCTCAGTGTGAGAAGCACAAAGCTGCTGCCAAGAGCCACAAAACAGACCCGAGCAATTTCACAGTTCTGGCCCCTTGACGGATACAAAAATATATTTTGTTCATTTCTTTCATGATGGGTCCTAAATCGTATTTATAATAGTCTTAAAAAACCCTTAAATGTGAGTTAGGGGTATATTTCTGAATTTTATGCCCCTTTCTTTTGAATATCTCAAACTGAGATTAGCACAGATGCTCAACTGGATTTAAGTAGGGGTGCACCGATTTTTTTAAATTTGGGAGCTCAGCAATTGGCCGATACATGAGTTAGCCGATCTTATTCAGCAACGTAAAAGTCTGAAAATCAGACTCACCAGGTCCCATCTGAACATTTAGCAATAGTCACTCTACTGCTAACAACTTTTTCTCCATGTTTAGAAACTTTCCAGACAAAAAAAAAAAAAATCACAGTATCTACAAATCAGGCTTCAGAAAGATCAGGCAGAAAAGTGCAGTCAGTGCCGTTTTAGATTGACGTCTGGAGTCTGAGACGTCTGAGTCGTTCCAACACATAGATACGCTTTCATGTAGTTCAGATCGGCTCAGCAATTGCAACTAGCTTGACCTTCCCTGTTCCTGCTGATTAAAAACGAATCCACGCATCATGATCCTGCTGCCACCATGTTTCACCATGGCGATGTGTGGTGTGAGTTCTTGGATAAACATAGCATTTGGTATATTGATCAGCATCTGACCAGAAACAGCCTTGAACAAATAGCCTTAAAGCTATTTGTTCTCTAATGTTGCTTAACAAAACTATGAGGAACAACAGCGTTAGAAATCAGATTTGATCACGCACGTTCGGACTTTTGTTCACCAGTTAGTTCTTGCATGTTCTGAATTACCTCTTTGCTTACCTTCACAAAGTGTCATTAGTGGTATGTTTAGGTTTCTAGTTGTAGCATGACAAAATGTGTAAAATAATGGTATGAATACATTTCCAGCCCCTGCACTTGCAGTTTCAAGGTTCCAAAAAACGTTTGTGTTGAATCAAACTGAGCCTGAAAAGGTTTGTAATGACCGTGGGCTCAAGCAAGGGTTGACGTTTGCCACCAAACAGAACGAGAAGCTGCTTGGCTTGTTTTGTTCTTGTGAAGAAACATGTTCAGCTTTATAGTTATATCAGAAAGTTAGACCCAGGAAGACAGCTTGTCTTGGTTCTGGAGCTGGAAGAGAAGTTTGTAGTTTGCTTGGAGACAAAATGGATCTGCTGTCTTCGCCTATCCAACTAAAAAGAACCAAATATGGAGAGTGACTATGTTAGACTGCTTTTATTAGGAAGAAGTTGAGAATATATGCGGGCCTGTCTGCCAACCAGTCAGTTTGGATTCAGCAAACTGCATTTAAAGCACTTGTTGAGTTTAATACAAGTCATAAAAATTGAGGAAATGTCCTGTACATTTTTTTCCTCCCTTCATGGTTGATGTTTGTAGTAGCTCCAGTGCTCCCCACATTTACTGGAACCTCATAGTGGACAATGTCCATATTGATGCCAAATTACTTATAGAAGACTGCTAAGTGATTGTCCAAAAAGACAACACCACAAAAAGACAGTGTCTTCACTCTGTAACAATTGAGAACTGAAGGTAGTTTTTTGCAGGTTCACCAGGCCATTGGCTATCAGTTCTCTACTCAGACAAGCCGACATAGTCTGCGGTCTCTAAGGTTTGCCAGGATTTGTCATAACTACTGTTTACCATCAGGACCGTTTGCATTGATGTTGGCAGCATGTGCAGTAAAATTTGAAGAAGAAAGTCGCATTCTGTGATAAATCGGATTCGGCCTGCAGCGGTTGGACCACAAGGTCAATGTGTGGAGAACATGTGGAGCATGCTACCCCGACTGCCACACAAAAAGAGTTGGCGAAATTGGTGGAAGTCTTATCGTAGTAGGCAATCTAAATGCTTGGACATATCCAGGTTAAATTCTTCAACCGGTGGCGATACATGAATTTTGCTTTTCATAAACTTCCAACCCACACAGGGTCTTTGTGTACGGTCACTGCATACACTATGAAACCAGAATATTCCCGTTTGCTCATTTTTTCCAGAAGATAACGCTAAAGTCAAAAGAAGAAATAAGTTGACGGAGTTACAACCTATGTAAAGAACTTGGCTGCTCAATCTGCAAAAGCTGGTCAGTGTTTTTTTTTAAATTATTATTACCAAGAAGAATCACTGCTGCAACAACTGCTCAAACACTAATTTCCTCACTTTAGTGTTAAGTTGATGGTCAGATCTGTGTGGTACTTGTAGCACCATGAAGTTGTAGTTCTAAACAAGGTTTAAAGTCCGTTATATGCTGTCTTAATGTTTTCAAGACCGCTCTGTTGCAGTCAGAACAGAAATCTGTTCTTCTGTCCCTTGATTGCTGTTTGAATCTTAAGAAACTGTCCAGCTCACAGTGTGGGAGGGCAATAGCGAGGGGCCCCTCTTTAAAGGAACTCAACTTTTCTGTGATGACATTTACAAGAATGGAAAAGAAACAGCTAAAAGCATAAGTGAGTGACAGGAAATGAAACTGCTTTAAGAGGAATATACAGCTGACACACCATCAGCAGCCAACTGAGGAACTGTACCCTTCAAAAAAACAATCAATACACGTCTCCCTTTTAATGGCTGCAGCTTTCGCGTGAAGCGGATCAGTGAGGTCTGTTCTAATTGAACCAGAACAAAGCCATGAGACGATGCTAGCGTTACGAGCGTTTAGCTTTTCCTCTGCTTCTCTGAGCGGTCGGTGTTGTGGAGACGCCAATCGCCCGAATCTGCTTGCGTTTCCATGGAAGCTGGGGATAACTAACGATGTGTTTTGTAGATCTGAGTGTTGATGACCCCTTGTGTTGTTGACCCATAATTGTCCATTTTTTAAAGTATTTTTTTTGCTCGGGCTTGTTTGGGTTCCGTGTCCAACGTAACAAGATGAACTCATGGAACGGGTTCAGTGAAATCCCAAAGAACAAAGATTTAACCTTTCTAATGGAGCCATTTTTAACATGATGGATATTCTACCCAGCAGGGTTTTTTTTCTTTGTTTAGGTTTGTGGTGAGCCACTCTTTCCATCAGAATTGAACTACATAGTCAGTGTTTTTTATTATTTTTTATGCTTATTAGAGACTAAGACATCGATCAGACTTTTTGCACCAGCCAACTTCAATTTTATGAACTGTAAACAACTAAATACTTTATCTTCTGGGTAAATCAAAAACTGAATGAACTGACCTTTAACATGCTTAAACTTTCAGTTATTTCTCTTAACATAACTGAAAGTCAGCAAATACAGGAACTTACAAAAAACAACTAACTTTATTTTGCAGACAGGAAAATGTCATGTGTATTATATTAATGTATTACACCAACGTAGTCTTCTATAGTTTTTTTTGTTGTTGTTTCAAATTAAAAACTATTCTAATGTTCCCAAATGGAAATTAAAGGGTTCTTGCACATTAATTTAAGATTCTAAAAGTGTGTAAATAGTAAAATGTCAACAAAATAAATAGCTAAAATACAATATATATAACTATGTTGTATGTACAGTTATATGCAGTATAGCTGCATATTTGACATTTATTTCAAATACACAGATTGAAACAACATGAAGTGTCATTTCAAATTGTATATTTGATAGAAAAATAGCTCTTACTTTCTTTTGTTTGGTAATAAACCAATTTATTTATTAAAAGATACTTGGTAAGCCTTCTGATGATTGAATATTCATAATTTATTCTAGAACCAGAGGCAATGAAAAAACAATGCATGTGAAGTAGAGGAGTAGGTTTCACACAGGTCCGCAGTTAAAAGGAGTTCAGATACAAAATGTTTATAGAAGACATTTTAAACTGCCTCAGCATGTCATATTAGCATACAGCTCATTGGACATGTCTAACTCTAGTTTCTGATTTTATTTGTTTTAGACAAAGTGGAGCACTAACTGCGGGATAACCAAAAGGCGCCCAACATTTCTCACTCCAAGACGGAAAGATTTGGGCTTTAGGAAAGAACGGAGTTATCTGCTGAATCCAACTTTAGAAAACTGATTCATTTATAGAAGCTCTTCACACATTTTGTGATTTCATTAGAAACAACATTCTTTGGCTCGTTCACTATGTTTTTAAGACGTTTTTTTAATGGTTATGTTTAGACCTTTTGGCAAGGTTTAACTCTCAGGAAGCTAACGAAACAGGAAACATTTCTGATACGAAGATCAATTTTGAGTTCTTGTTAGGAAATGTAGTTGCTGTAACAGAAAATTTTAACTCTTTTTATACAATGTTAGTTTTTCCCCCGTTTCTCTTCTAACTCCTCATAGCTGCAGGACTGATCTTTTTAGATCCGTCATGCATGTTCACAGTGGTGGTGTGCTGTTTGTCTTAGAGTCCCATTTGTTCCATAAATGTCAGTAGATGCTCTCTGAAGTGCTTTGTGGCAAATAGAAGTGCTGAGTTGACTTCAGGCAAACTGATTCGTAGGAAGGTAGTTGTAAAGAGTGTGACTGTAGGTTCTTATGAGAAACATGCAGGAATGGGCAGAGTGATGACAAGTAATTGTCCCTTTAATAATATGTCATTTTGGCCGATTGTGTTTTGTTACTTGTTGATAGAAAGAAAATAACTTGGCAAACTCGCATCTGCAACTTGAAAACAGGTACTGTGAGTTTTACCTGATCTTTTACAAGGACACAACCAGCTCTGATGATGCAGATCTTTTCCTTTAAATTCCAAACAAACTGATCTAAAACAGAAAAAGTTTCAGTAAATGATTTATGAACAGGCAACTACTTCCTATGTTTTTTCGCTCAGTCTTGGGTTCTCACCACAAACCCATCCGCTCCCTGTCATTTGATTTCCTTATGCCTTGTTTGCTGAGACGAAGCTCTAAATAGGAACGTAATGTGTGACCTTCCTTGGTTTTACAACTCGATTCATTTGCATGACATTGCCATCCAAATTATGCTTTGAAGCTTGCTCGGTTGCAATTTTTGTACTTCCTCTTTATGTTCACTGACGACTCATGGTGCATGCTTATGAAAGAACGCGTTTAGCACGACCAGTGGAAGTTGTCTGTTGACTGAATTGAGAAAAACACCCACACTATATTGAATTTGAATTTCATGCATTTATTCCAAAGGGAAAATTATTTTTGTAACACTTGTCATCTAAGTATCTTCAAACTGTTGTTCATACTATAAATCTTTGGGAAAGAAGAATGTCCAGTAGCAGTCAGTCCTGCAACAGGTCTCGAGAGGTCTCTGACTGAAGACTGTTGCTGTATGACAGTCTCCTGACTGTCAGGACATGCTAACGTGCTAACAACTCCATATGCAAAAAGCAGAGATGGTTTACAGTAATATGTTCACACTGATACAAATATGGCTGAAACGATTAACCGTGATTAACAAGTTCAGTTAATGATTAATTGATTGCTAGACTGTCCAGCCTAGTAAAGGCCATTTGTTGAAAAAACAACATACTCCGAGCAGCAATTCAGCCAAAACTGTACAAAAAATATTGCTTTTAAGGTGAAAACCACCATGTTTTACCCAAAACTCCTTAGATTCACTAAAACAATGTTATGTTACTTCATTTGAGGCAATAGAATATTTTATTTTTAAAAAAGAATTGAATTGTTCATTTGTAACCCTTAAAGCATTTCTAATATTGTATAAAAATATTGAATACAGTAATAGAAAATCTGCACCATGTGCCCTTTTCTTTATTCAATAAGTTGATTAATCATCAAAATAATTGATAGAATAATTATTTGTTGCAGCAGTTTTTGGCAAGCACAACTAATCCATCTCATTTGCTTTTGCTGCTTCTCTTCATATCGCTGTCTGCCATATTGAAATAGATCTATTTGCATCATGCGAGTCTCACGATCAAAACCGGATGTTACTGCTGGCGAAAACGACAGACTAAACGGAAAGTAGCAGGATAGTGGTTTGTTTTGGGGGTTTTCAGATCGTGTGCGGTCAGAAGATGCACAGTTCAGAAGAAGTTGTGCGTCAGTCAAACATGTAGAAATCCACAGCTAGAATAAAAAAATCGCAAAGAGCAATTTCTCTAATACACAGAACACGTAGCCGTTCCCAAGTATAAGAAGATTGTTCAACACCTGATGAAGATGATGATGACTGATGGAAGATGAGCAGTACTACCATGGGCGAATCATTTCTCATGTCACTGTTTATATCTGCCGCTGCCATGATTTTAGTGACTCAATGTGTGAACAAGCTTATTCAGTGTGAGTTTTAATTTCTTATTGAATGGAAAAATGGCAAAGGCAGAATATGTTCAAATATTTGCGCTCATTTGCAATGGAAATGCAGCCACTGATACATTCGCAATGTAGGGAAAAACGTTACAGGGCTGTGAATATACTCTGTTGCGTCTCCGTTGACCAGGTGACGTTTTAACGCCGTCAGGATCTCGCCTGCTCTCGTCTCATCACCCTGGAAGGCTGACTGTAAAGCGCTTCGCCGCAGCGGGAACCCCGCTGCTCTTCAACACTTCGGCGGATCTGTCACAAATGACAACAGTTTGATGGCTCTCACCCGTCTATACTTTGCTGTCTCTAGTGGACTTTTATAGGCATTCCTGTTTAACTGCCAGTGCTGTATGGACACCCGTATGCAGAGCTTGTAAATGTCAGCCTTGTTGATGTAGAGGTTTACAGAAGTATCTGTTGCACAATCAAGAGTAAGCTGAAACTCGCATTAGCATTCTGTTTCATTTCAGCCCAGCCCATTAGCTTCAGAGGCTCAACTTTACACACTGTAGTACCGACACAGTCTCCTTTTGAGGGGACGGCGTTGAGGACAGATGGATTTCTGTTCTAATTGCCCCCAAAAGCATAAAGAAATTTCTTGAGCCACTCGTTGTGTGGTTTCCAGAAGCCTCTCCTCCTGCTTACCTGAAAGAGCTTCCAGTATTTCTTGGAAGTTCTTTGATTACCAGATGGTGTCCTAATATGGCACTGCTGGGATTTTGTTTCTCTGCTTTCAGTGCAACTACTGCATCCACAGCTAAAGTTGCGAGCATCAACCCAAACCTTCAGGGTTTAACAAGAATCTGAGCCCACAAATCTTCTACCGCTCCATAGGAACGGTTGTTATGTTATCGATGTTTTCCGGTCACCATAGTTACAGATCCGTCACTGGCACAAGTCCCACTGACAGCACGCACTGGTGTTTCCAATTTTCCTCGTCTTCTAGTCCCTGATGTGATTACAGGAGTTCTGCAGGAAAAGCTCCAGGGAAGACTGCTTCTTTCTTTCTCTCTTTTTTTTTTTCTCTGTAGAAGTGAGATCATTGGGAGTTCTGGGAGGAGGATCCACAGCAGAAGATCTGTTGCATTTTGGGTTATCTGTGAATGATTTAGGGTACCTAGATGAACAAACACGAGAATGTTTGAAGAAGCAAATTAAGTGCTGATCAGATCTTATTAGAGAGGCATAAGAGAAATTTTGTGTGGCTTGTTTGTGCCATTGTCTCTTCAAATTACAAATCAAGTCATGCCGTTTTCAGAAGTAGGCAAATAGTGGGCTGGAGTGAACCCAAACACGCTGGAGCAGTAGGGTGTATAGAGTGTGTTTTTGGTTTTCTGTACTGTCAAAAGCCACTGAGGCAACAAGGGTGGAACCCAGAGTCCATCAGCTCTTTATTTCATAGACTGAGAGGAGGAAAATAAATTCCATTAGGGAGGAAAAGTTTAGGAGAGCTTCACTGTGCCTAAATTAAACACACATTTCTCGCAGCTTTGGGTTATGAAACGGTTCGCCCTCATGGTGGTGGTTGGGTGGGGGGATTAAGAATAAATTTCTGTCTGGCAGCGATGGGCGTGTCGCAGAGTGGATCTCTCGTAGCGGGCGTTCAGGAGCGGCGTGAGGCCAGGTGGCCGGACGGGCCATGTAGCTCAGTTGTATCTTAGGAACGAATCAGAGGGAAGGAGAGAATAAAATGAGTGACGAGGCGTCATGGCAGCAGAGGTATGGGAAGTATTCCTCCCCAGCACATCCCACTGATAACAATCAGCCGAACGCTTCCGCCCGCCTCGCGCACACCAGCCGGACGGACTGCGGAGGAACAGGACATCTTGTCCCCAGTAGGGGGTCGAGGGTAGGGTTCAGGGGCTGACAGGACGGGGACTGTGCTGCAAGGCATGCTGGGATTGAGATTCAGGTCATCAAAAATATTGTGTCTTTTTAAAACTCGTGAGTTTGTGGACAACAGTTTATGATTGCTGCTGCAGTGGGGGACAGTTGTTCAAGTGTGACTGGTGCAGCTGGACATGAAGCTCTCTGTCGCTCTCTAGTGGAGAAAAGTAGTTTTGCTCATACGTCAGTGTTTTTCAGAAAGGACTCATATTTTGTCTGACTTACCCACACACTTCAGTGTTTTATGTGACAAACCAACAGAAGTAGTTCATAATTGTGAAATGATACGAGTTTAAATAAATCAAAATTCTCCTTCCTTTTTATCATAAAATATTTCCGGAAATATCAAGTGTTCCTCCCATAAAGTATTGTGCCATTATAACCAAGTTTGTCTTCTCCATTTTCTTCACTTCTGTGTTTTTGTCCTTTATGTGATCAGCGCTGCCTCTAGAGGCCAGGGCATGGCAGTGCCCAGAAAATCTCTTTGGAGTTTCTGATTTTATTATGAAAGGTTAACACTGATTATGTGTTATAAAGATATTTACCCTTTTTACTCTGTTATGAAATAACTTTTTCCTTTAAATATGCTCTTTCTGGTGTTATCTACACTGTCTCTAGATCTATCTCTTGTATTGGGTGTTGTCGTTTCAGGATAAATGACCAACTTCTGCAGGGAAGCTAACGTTAATTTAATTTCTTCTTTGTTTTTTCTTTCAGTGCCTCTGGAACCAACATTGTTGCCATTGACAATAAGATTGAGCAGGCAATGGTAAGCTCATCAGTTATTTGTCCTCTAACTAAACTCATCAGCATTTTAATTTATTTCTATAATTCGTTGCAGAAAGTGAAACTTCTAACTTATTTAGATTTATGAGAGAGTAAATCTTTGGATTTTTTTTTTGCCATCTTTTTCTCCACGTCTTCCTTCCTGTCAACTTTTTCCTTATATGCTTTTTGTCGGACTTCAATAATTACCTGCTGCACTACTGACTCTGCATCGCTCCTCATGATTGTGTCCATTGTGACGCCACATGGAAGTTTCTAAAAATGTAGTTTTTGCTTTAAAACCGTCATAACAATAAAATGAATAGGGTATTTAAATGAAATAAACAGTCATCAGAAATGTCCAATATAACACAACCACACCTGTGTTCATGATTCAAAACATGAACACAGTCTTCCATTTTTGTCTTTGTTACTAGAAATGTTTATTTTTTTTATTATTATTTTGTCCAAAAACAAAATGCTCAGCAACATTTTTCCTAGCAAAACAAATTACTTTTTTTTTTATTTTTTTTATTTTTAGTAGCACTCCATTTCTTAAAGAAACAGAATTTTGGGTTGACATTAGCTGTCAATTGCTAAAATGAACAAATAATTGAATATATGATTCAATGAAGTTTCAGATTTTGTATTAAATTATTGGCCTGTTGACCAACCTGCTCCTGTCCGTGTGTCTGCGCAGGACCTGGTGAAAAGCCATCTGATGTATGCAGTGCGTGAGGAGGTGGAGGTTTTAAAGGAGCAGATCAAGGAGCTGTTTGAGAGGAACTCTGTGCTGGAGCGGGAGAACGCCGTGCTCAAATCTCTAGCTAACAGCGAGCAGCTATCTCAGCTAACGGCTCAGACTGGCGCCGGCCCGGCCGCCGCTGCCACCGCCGCGGCCCCTGGGTCCACCTCCCCCCCCGGCCTCCAGCAGCTCCATCCGAAACCCCAGCAGCTCCAGCCTCAGCAGCCCCAGACTCAGCAGCCCCAGACTCAGCTCGATGCTGGCCAACAACCGCAGCCCAACGTCACCTCCGCTTGAAGTGCGTCTGCCCTGCTTCACACAGGGCAGAAACAAAGCATCTCCTTGTACAACTTAATATAATTAGTATATGTGAAATTTAAAAGAAAGAAACTGTCTTTAGCCACCAGCTTGACCACAAAGTACAGTGCTTCTGTGTGTGTATGTGTGAGCGCGCGGCTCGCGTGTGTGTAGGTGTGTTAGCACGCTAGAAAGCGAGACTGTGAACTGGTTTTGAAATGTATGTGTGTGTCTGTACTGTGGGCCTTTCCAGTGTTAATGCAATCATCAAAGGGTGTGTGTGTCTGTGAGAGAGAGAGAGAGAGAGAGAGGCTAACCGGAAGTGTGAGAGGGATGCGTGGCAAGCAGGCTGGAGCGACTTCAGAACCAAACCCAAACTGCACCGCCTGACCTGAAACACGCTCAAAGGGGTTCACCGGCGAAAAAAAAAAAGAGACAGACAGGAAGTAGAAAAAAAGTGCTTATTTTTTTAAACGAGACAGTCGGGAGGGGTTAGCTGCTCAATGTCAGGATCCAAGAACTGGGAGAGTCTTTGTTGTTTTTGTCGGAGCGCCAACACTGCTGGCGTCACCTTGCATCAAGTCCAACTCTCGCATCAATCCTCCTGAGTTCTACTGTTATTAGTGTTTATTTATTACAGGGCTGCTATTTCCGCAAAATGAACAATTCCACGAAACCTGTTAAATAGCAGCCCGGTGACTCTTCTTCTTCTTCTTCTTCTGTTTTACAGTGTTTTAACAGCTCAGCCTCTTCCTAGGCTGCCCTCTGTGAAGACAAATAAAATGTAGGCAAAATGAAATGAAAACTCTGACAAATGTTTAACACTAACTCAGATATCACGCTGCAATTGCCAATTCATAGCTTGAGCTCGATTGAATGTACATTTTTGTATAGTATAAAGTATTATTCGCCTTGATGGGCGACAGCACCTGTCGACGTCAGATGTTAATATAAGCCAGCAAAGGGGGGAGGAGTTGAAGAAAACCCACTTATTTGATCTTAAAGTGAATTTAAGAGTATTACCATACCCCCCCTCTTTACTTTCAGTTTTAGCTCCACTGGTTTTCCTGTGGGAAGCGGGGCCAACGGACGGGAGGGACGGGGGGAGGGAGGGGGAAGAAGCTGTGAAATCATCCTATTTACTTCAACGTATGTCAACCAAAGATTAAAAGCTGTGTAAATCGATTTCTTTTGAGATGCACACGTGATTTGGGGGTTTTTTTTGTTGTTTTTTTTGGTTGCTTCCTCCTACACAGAAATAGTTTTTTTTTTGCTGTTCAGCATGTTCTGCATGATCTGTAACCTTCAAACCACTTTCTTACCTCATTTTTATTCAGCACTCTTGTTGTAAGATAGTCTGAACAGTGTAAATGATTTGGGGGGGGGGGGGGGGTTTTCTGTTGCCGAGCAGCAAGTTGAAAATAAAACCTAGTGTTGCCGACGCTAGTCGCAGACGAAATGAAGTGAGCCATGTTTTTGTTCAGTTAAATGGTGTTTGAATTTCATATGCCAATAGTTTTGTTACTTTGCAAAATTTTATTGTATTTAAATAAAAGCAATATTCCGATTCCAAGATGTCGTTTCACTCGCTCTCACGCGCTCGCGTGTCCGGTCAGCATTACAACAACCACACCTGATGACTCCACCCTTGTCAGCGTTTGGCCTGTTAGCTGGTGGGTCTTATTAGCTTTTACCTAATAAGTGACAAGTTGACAGTTAATTAGCTTTTGCCAGACTGAACTGGTTTTAAAACCCAGTAGCTGCTTGCTCTTTAGATCTAAATTACACAGTTACAGTAACTAATCCCAGAGGGAAAGCTCCAAGGAGGCGGGGCTAGGTGCACCCATGTGTTTTGCGCAGCTGAATGGTTGCCACTGGCGATTAGAAAATTTCTGAGATGTAGGATAAAATGAAAGCAAAGCTCCAGGTATGTTTTGATAATGGAATAGCATCATAACATAAGATAGAGCTAAAAAATTTTTGAATTTTAAGTAATACTGAGACTCAAGTCATGGTCACGATGCTGCATCAGGATCAGTATTTAGACAATCTTTTATTTAAAGAACTTACAAAACTTATGGCAGAACAAACGTTCTTTCCCGACACGCCATGCTAGCAAATGCGTCGTCTCTGAAAACAAAATGCTTTTTAAAAAGTGTTCGTAGTGTTAACAGTTCTGAGTCATAACAGGGAGAGAAAAAACAAATTCAAACGTTCCCCTGCGTGGAGTTGTCACGACACAAAAAGTTGAATACACCGACATCAAGGAGAAAATGGAAGCTTTTCCCAACGGCTCCGGTTGACGGAGCAGCCGTGTGAATCCTGCTTATTTGTCCCATTCAGGCTTCCCTCTCAGTGGCATCACAGCGACTCGGCACGTGTCCCATCGTTGGGGCGGAGTCAGAGCTGGACGGCGGGTCTTTGGGGCGTCATCTCTCTTCACGTCAGGCTAACCCACGGTAACAAACCTGCTGCCCCGGCTGCTCTGCGCCGTGGCGACGCGCCGATCTTTGAGGATGCGGAATCGCTCGTTCAGAGTCATCGACGTTTGCTGGGGAGGCAAAAAAAAAAGACAAGAACAAGACACTGATGAATGACCAAACAAATAAAAAATAAAAATCACCTGCAGGAACAAATCCGGTCATCTTACCGGCTTCCCAACACTGTTGATGTCAAACTGCAGAGGGACTCCTTTAGGGACCTTCTTCTCCTCCGTCTCCACCTTAACCGGAGCCAAGACGACGGGCGTCGGGTGCAGTGTCCAGGCAGTAGGGGGCCTACGAACAAGTTAAACACAGACGCTGTTGGAGGCAGAGGTGTGTTAAGATATGTTTTCTCTCCACAGAACTTTCTCCTTCGAAGGAGGCGGCACTGAACGCTCACTCTGGTTGAGTTCTGGCTGTCGGGTTGTCAATAGAAACGGTCAGAATTCCACTGCCGGCTGTAGGCGTGCGCCACCTAGTGGGCAAGCAGGAGAGCTGAGTCATGCATACAGATATACATGTTTTTTTTTATTAAGGCATTAATTTTAGATGTATGAACTTAAGACTTTTAAGAGACGCCCGTCCTCTCGTTCTAATGGACCCCACCAATCACACTGAGGACACTTACTGTCGTGTTCTGACCGGAGGAGTGTGAAGGTTTGCCTTCTGAATTTGGGCTTGAACCTGCACAGCACAGAGGATATTAAATGTGTCGCCCTGGGAGACATCAGGTCTGATTTCATCCACATCAGCGTTAGCTCAGCACACCTTGAGCCCTCTGCGGAAAAGGAAGGTGGCCTGGCGAGCCTCCCTCTGCGTCTGCTGGACCGGCGGCGGAGCTCTGCAGAGAGGAGAGCACAAAGCTGTGGAAACGCTCCAGAGGGACGGGGCCGTGTCGGAGCGGGGCCCATTGGATCTCACCGTCGTCGTAGCTGGAACGGTCGCCTAAACGACAACAACGCGGCCGAGTTCTGGCCTCGCTGTTGATCGGGCTGCCGGTACGGCCCCCTCGGCCTCCTGTACTGGGCCTCCGAGCGCTGAGTGAAGGGCCTCGTCCGCGGACGCGCTTTCTGAACGAAACAAGGCAAAAGGAGGGTTGTTATGCAAAAAAACCAACAAAAGACCAAAATGCATTTTAATCCATTTAGAGTGGAAAGAAAATAAAGATCGCTTCACAATCAGGAGGAAGACTCCAGACTTCACAGCTGCTGTTCGATGGAAAGCTAAGTGGAAGGAAAAACTGCTGTGGCAAAGTGCGAGACAGGAGTTTGGGAAAGAGTTACCATGAACACTGCTCCAAGAGCCACTTCCCTCCGACCATTTCTTGTGCTCCATAGTTGCTAAAGTTTATTTTGTTCCCAAAATGTCATCTCCAATATGGTGTCACGTCTTACGAAAATCGTATGACGTGAAATACAAGGTTGAGGTGATCCGGAAATGGCTTTAATGCATTTTAATGAGGAATTAAGTCAGTATGTTACGTCTTCTTGATCTGATAACGAATCATGTGACCTAACTGTAACTGTAGTCCTGACCACCTGACTGTGAGAAATCCACATGCTCAAAGAAGGAGCTGAATCACTCATAGCTTCTATAAACATGTGTTATTTTACTTCGCCACCACAGGAAGCTTCATATGCGACGCTCAGTGTTTAGTAAACAATCACTTCCTGTGCACAGATGCATCATCTCACATTTCCAACTGTGAGAATTTCACTCCCTCTGTGTTAACAACACAGAGGGAGTCCAGAATGTCCACTGATGCAAACTGAACCAGAGACTCGGGCATTGAACACATCATCTGCCCATCTCTCCTCTCAGTTTGGGTCTTACCTGGCTGGCTGCTGATCGGTTCAGCACTCCGGCTCGTTTCAGCAGGACTGCGGGCCTCCTGGCCGCCAGCCCGGTGATGACCCCCTGACCTCGTCGCCGACCCACCAGAGGAGGAACCCTCCTGTTTCTTAGCACAGCCGCTCCTCCTCGCGGTGCGCCACCTCCTGGTGAGATGACAATTTGCCCACAGTTTTAATGCTCAGTAACGGGACCTCGCCGCAGTGGCAGCGGGAGGTGAGCTCCCACCTCTCTGTGCTGCTGCTCCGCTCCTGCTTTGACTCAAGAGGCCTTTCTTCTTGAACGTCCTGCGACTCCCATTAGCTTGTCTTCTTATCAACTGCTTCTCTTTTTTATTTAGGCGAATTATGTCATCTGTCGAAACGAGAACAGCGAGAAATGCCATGTTTATATTTATCCTGGCTGCCTGGCTGATGCTACTAAGCAGATGCTAACGTCGCATGGAATCTATTTTGGTAGTAAAAAAAAAAGAGGAGAATGTTACCTAAGGACATGTCGACTTTGTCGGGCACGGCCGCCATTTCCCTCCGTCTGGTGCTGAAACCACCGTTCTCCATCGCTCCAGAAATGGACCGGCAGCCAGCGGAAGGTTCTGCTGGCTTCTGGAGCTCCGCCACAACAGTAGAATCTCCTCCAGCCGGAACGCCTCCTTTTTTTTTTTTTTTTTTTTTTTTTCTTTTTCTGTTTTTTAATTGGCGGATGGCAACCAACTTCAGGTGCATTTACCGCCACCTACCAGACTGGAGTGTGGTCAACAATAATCTCGCCGGAACGCCTTCTTCTTCTTCGTTTTCTTTTCTTCTTTTGGTGTTCTTTGACGGTTGGCAAGAAAACTGAAGATTTGCATTACTGCAATTTACTGGTATGGCTTGAGGGTTTCATGTCTAAAAATAAATAAATAAATAATACAACCTTCATATAATCTGATTCAAAAGAATAATTATTCAAAAGAAAAATCTATCTATCTATCTATCTATCTATCTATCTATCTATCTATCTATCTATCTATCTATCTATCTATCTATCTATCTATCTATCTATCTATCTATCTATCTATCTATCTATCTATCTATCTATCTATCTATCTATCTATCTATCTATCTATCTATCTATCTATCTATCTATCTATCTATCTATCTATCTATCTATCTATCTATCTATCTATCGCTTCTTTGTGGTTATTTGTGTATTTTCAAGTGTGTACTGCCCCCTTCCGTTGCGGAGTGGATATGATGGGGTTTTAAATCTGAGTTTTCGCGTACAGTCCTGTTCTGCCTAGAAATCGAATCACTTTCCTTTGTGTTTTCTATATACATAAATTAATGTGACCCCTTTCTAACTTCTTGTACCATTTTTTTCTATCATAAGCCTTTCAGATGAGTATTGTGGGCAATGCTTAAAATCATCTTGTTTTTGAACTGAATCACAAACCGTGACTCAGCATTTCTCTGAATATACTATGTAAGGTTTGATTTAGTCACATGTGGAAAAAAAATTAATCTAAATAAGAGCGCTCTATTTAAGTAAACTTTTAATTCTTCTGTCTGCGGGTCAAATGTCTACAGGTCACACGCCAAAAATGAGCGAGGACGTGTAAATATTTTACAGCTGTCTTGCCGTACACTACTGATGCCAAGAATACCGAGTAATTCGACAACGAGCTTGCCATACAGGGTGACCGCTGGAGATTTCTCACAGAGGCATGATGGGACGTGTAGTCAAATCCGATTAAAACAGTGTTACGAAACCTGCCACTAACGTGCTCATGTAAGCGGTTGTGTAAAGCGGAGTAGGTTACGTGAGCGGCTGTTTTCTGTTCGCTTCCTTGTCTTTCTTCCCTCAGAACGAGCGTTCAGACTGACTGCACCTGAAAAGGCCGGTCCCGAAGGCTTCCGCCGTGTATGCTGCTCCGTGTGTGGAACAGGTTTGTGTTTTTGACGCCGGGCTGTTTCTAAACAAAGTTTGGTTCATTGATAGACAAGTCAACGGCTCGCGCGCGTTTCGCCAATTAACGTCACTCGCCTTTTATGCAAATTCTCGTGCGGCTGGTTTGCTCGCGAGCGCTTCGAGTATTCTCCGTGCTTCTCCGTCTTCAGGTCTCTGCTTCCCACCGCACCGAGGCTCGCGCGACTCCCCGGTCAGGCTCGCGGACCGAAACCCTCCATCATGTCGGAGAAGAAACGCAAGGCGCCGACCGCCGCCGCGGGAGGCAAGAAGCCCAGCGCCAAGCAGCCGAAGCTGGAGAAGGCGGAGAAAGCCGCGGGCTGGCTGCAGAGTCTGGTGGAGCAGCAGAGGGAGGATAAGAAGGACGTGAAGTTCAACAAGAAGCGCCAGCGGTTTCTCACCGACACGAAGACGGTCAAGCAGGGCGCGGAGGGGGTGCTGTACTGGATGCAGAGAGACCAGAGGGTGCAAGGTGACGATATGCCACACAGCAATCTGTCAGACTCTCTATTTCTGCTCAGTGTTTTCACTTCTCCTGTCCAACCCTAACACAGATAACTGGGCCTTGATCCGTGCGCAGCAGCTGGCTGCAAAGGAAGAACTCGCCCTGCACGTGTGTTTCTGTCTGGTGGTCCCGAAATCGGAGCTGTCCACACTGAGGCATTACGCTTTTCTGCTGAAGGGGCTGCAACAAGTCGAAAGGGTAACGCTTTGATTGTGTGTTTTGCAAAAATATATATTACAACGATTGAAACGTTGAGTTGCGTCAAGATGCAAAACAAGAACGATTGCTTCAAATTAACCAAATATTTATTTTTCGTTTTCGCCAAATCGGCCCAGAATGAGAAATCCTAACTTTTATTTCTACCTGTGAAGGCAACAGTAAGAATAGAGTTCAACTTATTTACACATTCTCAAAGATATTCTGCTAAATGTCCCTTTGCATGTCAAAAGTCAACTATTTTTTTTTTTTTTTTGTAGTCTTCTGCCAGCGTTTCAATAATTCTCCCTGGATATCTGATCACTTCAGTCAGTAAAGATCATTTGCAGGGGTTTATTAGCATCACATTAAGACAGGAGCTGCTGTGCAGCTGTCTGCTTAACCATAAAGTGGGATTGTCACAATATGAAACTTGATTTGATGCTAAGAAAAATAATCAATACCATTTTTGGTACAGTGGCAACTTTTTTTTAAATGCACTGCATATTTTTAAAATGAGATAAATAAATGAAAAAAAAATAAATGAAAAAAATCAGTTTCAGTATGGGAGAATTTGAACTTGGTTGCATTCAAAACCTATAAATTAAGTTCTTGTTTATAAAAGTATGTCATTTAAAAATATCACTTTCCTGTTTGGCAAAAATAGCAGACGGGATAACACTTCCTATAGGTGCTATTGTATAAAATTAATTACAGTACAGTATGACTTTCTTACATTGTATATATGTCCCCTATTCTACAGTTTCTTCTGTTTATATAAATAAATATGTGGTATATTTAAATTTCAGTGATATTCTAAAACACTGACGTGTCGATGAACATGCAAAAAAACAAAACAAAACAAGACAACAGAAAACCAGGAAGAGGCAGACACTTTTCCACCCCACTCTAAAACAGCCTCACATTAATGAGCCCAACTTTAATCCCAGTGAGAAAGTTTCTACTGTGACCTGAACCGGGAAACAGACGGCTGCATTCACATTTCCTCAGTCCTACTAACACAACGGAGTTTATGCGACCGAATTAAACCTTCAGAAGGTTAATTAAAAGCTGCGTGTGGCAGGTTGTTGAGGAACCGTCAGTTTCAGCCTTGCTCTCCTGCCTGCGTCCAACAGGACTGCAAGCGGCTGAACGTCCAGTTCCACCTGCTGCACGGGGCTCCGGGAGAAGTGCTGCCCGGCTTCGTGTCTGATCGCGGTTTGGGCGCCGTGGTGACCGACTTCTCGCCCCTCCGAGAGCCTCAGAAGTGGCTGAACGACGTCAAAAAGAAGCTTTCCAAGGACATCCCTCTCATACAGGTCAGAAGAGCTGAAAATAACTCGCAGCAGCTCATGCAGCTTTGACGCATCGGAGCTACAAACGTCACTGTGATTTTAATAATAAAGAGCAACACAAAGTGTAGAAGTGTTCAGTGGAAGGAAAGCAGTAGATCGTTTTTATTTTATAAAGAAAAGTCTGATGGAATGTTCAATAATTTCACTGAATTCCCATCCAGAACCACACGGCATTCTGGGGGATGTAGGCAGAGGAAAGGCTTTAGCCACTCAACCGCTAAGCTAAGGCTTAGCTGGTGGCGTCAAATAACTCTCTCGCTCTTTGGTTACCTAGCAACAACCTGTTGAGTAACTTGTTTACATGAAACTGGAAAGGTCACACCACCAGTTCAGCAGGATTTCGAAACCAAAAACTAATCAACAATCAATATGGACTGATATGAAAGACTTATATTGTGATACATTTTTCAGCCATATGGTCCAGAACATCTTCTGCTGTGTCCCTGTGTGACTTGTAGCCACACATGCACAGCCCATTTTTATCTTTTCATTGGAAACAAAAATGACTACGTTTTCCTTTCATACCATCTTGCGATTATTCTTTACTTTGTGTTGCACTACGGTATAAAATGAGCGACATTTGTATTGTTTCCGCCGTCTCCTGCTATTTCTCCCCTTCATTGACAGGTTGATGCCCATAATATTGTTCCCTGCTGGGTAGCTTCACCCAAGCTGGAGTACTCTGCCAGAACCATCAGAGGAAAAATCACCAACCTTCTGCCTGAGTTCCTCACTGATTTCCCTCCGGTAGAGAAACACCAACACACTGCCACGAGGACAGCCAAAGTAAGTTTACAGATGCAAATATATATTTTTGCCATTTCTATAAAATGATAAAAAACAATGTTCTTGAATATTTGTGCATATAAAATAGCAAAATACTTCTCAAGAGTATGGAAATACGCTGTGGAAATACCAGCTGATATATTTCTCACTTCCAATATCTGAGGTTTGATACCGGTCCGTTTTGCTCTGCCTCAGCCTGTAGACTGGGAGCAGACCTTGGCCTCCCTGGATGTTGACAGAACAGTAGGGGAGCCTCAGTGGGCCAAGCCCGGCTCAGAAGCCGGCATGGCCATGCTGGAGTCCTTCATCGATGTCCGCCTGAAGCTGTTCGCCACCCAGCGCAACGACCCCAACATGGCCGCTCTCAGCCAGCTCTCCCCGTGGATTCGCTTCGGTAGGCAAGAGATGTTTCCGTTAGATCTCGCCGGAGCCGTTAAGTCCAGACCGACGTCCTTCTCCTCGCTTCATGCAACTCCGACTACATGCGTTTCTGTGCCCCTCTTCTGATCAGGCCAGCTTTCAGCCCAGCGTGTGGCGCTGCAGGTCCGGCGCTGCGGGAAAAACGCCAGCGAGTCTGTGGCTGCCTTCATCGAGGAGCTGGTGGTGCGCCGGGAGCTGACCGACAACTTCTGCTTCTACAACGAGAAGTACGACAAAGTGGAAGGTCAGCAGGATGGGGAGGGGTCTCGTTAGAAGTGATGCGTCAGAATGAATTGAGTAAAAATGAACTCAAGCTTTCTGTTATGATCTTGGATTGTGGCTGTGGCTTCTAGGTGCTTATGAGTGGGCCCAGAAGACCCTGAAGGACCATGCCAAAGACAAGAGGGAGTACATTTACACCCGGGAGCAGCTGGAGAAAGCACAAACACACGACAAGTTATGGAACGGAGCTCAGGTATGATTACATTCACAATAAATATCTAAGAGGCATCCAGAATAATTTTAGTCATTTGTTGTACTAACCCTAAAGCGTTAAACGCAAACATTAGTTCCACTAAAGCAAAACCCAACACCAACATGGTATTTAGCAGAAGCTAATGCTAGAGCTATTATATCAGCACTTGAAAGACTACAACCCTGGAACACCAATTTAGTTTTGACATAATGTACATGTTTTATGTACATTATGTCAAAATTATTGAACATAGAAAATATACAATAATTAACATTAAGTACTAGATAAACATTGTATTTAATGTTCATCTTGTTCTCCACTGTGTGTTATTGTGGTCTGTATGTTTCTTTGAAATAAAGAGAAGAGCATGAGGAGAGGAAATGAACTGCTACGTAAACACTTCAAAATAAGAGCATGAGTGAAAACGTCTACTTGGAGAATTTTTAACAATCAGTAAATAAAACTGCAACCCAGATGTTGAAATTAACAACTAAAAGTTTACAAAACAGCATAGAAGAAGTAGATAGAGTAAGTGCATAATTGTGAAGGGGAATATGTCAATTTTAGCATTTGCTTTTTATAATTTATTTGACATTTAATTTTTTAATTACCTTTGACACTCGTCGTTTCCCCATCAGTACCAGATGGTAGCTGAGGGGAAGATGCACGGCTTCTTGAGGATGTACTGGGCCAAGAAAATCCTGGAGTGGACCCGCTCGCCAGAGGAGGCGCTCTCCATCGCTCTGTACCTGAACGACCGCTACGAGCTGGACGGCCAGGACCCCAACGGCTTCGTCGGTGAGAAAAAACAGGACTGTTGTTACAGGTTGAGTCCTCTTGCTTGTTTCTCATTTTCTCACCCTCTCCCTCTTCCTCTGCCGGATGTCTGGTCCCGCAGGCTGCATGTGGTCCATCTGCGGCATCCACGACCAGGGCTGGGCGGAGAGGCCGGTCTTCGGGAAGATCCGCTACATGAACTACAAAGGCTGCCTCCGGAAATTCAACGTAGCTCAGTTTGAGAGGAAGTACTGTCCCAAAAAGGCCTGAAGCGCGGTGCGCTTGAAAGAATATAGAGGAAATGTTTGATGAGCTCCATGTCTTGCATTTTCCCTCAGGGAGTGTTTTTAATGTCTTTTATGCTGTGTTTTCAGAGATTATTCTCATCTCTGAAAACATCCAGTATTCTATATTGGGCCTTTATTTCCTTGGTTTTCTTTTAAACTCCACCAGCTTAAACAAACTGTGTTTTCATATATACATGTTGATTTTTTTATATTCTATAAGCCTGATTCTGCATTGTTTTGATGCTGACTGGAGTTACTGTTACAGCTCTTGTGTGTATTTTTTTATTTATTTATATTTTTTGGCCTGTATAATTCTGTTGCCAAAAACAGATCAACTATAGAGAGAACTTTGTTTTATGTGTTAATTTCTCCATTCTGACTGTAATTAATCAGGAACTGCATCATACTTATTAAGAGTTTATTCCCAACCAAGTTGATTCTTCTAGCACTTAAACTCAAATTCAAAAATACCGTATTGGTCCCAAAGGGAAATTAGACACTGTGGTAACTCTTATTAATTCAGAGTTACTCCGTTACAGTAGATGGTGAAGGCTGTGGGTTGGAAAGATTGCCTGTAATCTGTGATCTTCTTCATCTCTGATAATGTTCCTCTGCAGTTCATTCTCCAGCTTCTTCCCAAATCCTCAAAAACTCTGTCTTGTTCCTCCAAGGCTTTTCTTTGAGGAACAACCCTGATGGATAACCATCAGGGTTGATGGTTTGGTTGGTTACTCAGTCCTCAGTTGTGGACGTCCTCTCATCCGGCTGGCAAAGAGCGATCCGATCTGTTGCTTCTTCAGCTGCCTGTGACCTCTTTCTGCCTCTGAACAAGCGGTTCATATTTAGAGCAGAGAAAAACAGGGATATAAGTAGCTAATGCACATTGTTACCTCTGTGTTTTCTAAATGTCAATCCCAACCAACAGCTTTGATATTTATTTTTTAACAAACATGAAAAAACTGGCAGCAACAACAATTAATGGGCGAAAAAAAAAAAACTCCTTTGTCAAAGACAAAGTGATATGAAACTGTGTGCCTATATAAAGGCTCCTGTTTCAGACCAATTAGGGAGCGAGCTTTCATTCAGCACACATGTAATTAAAGAAAACAACACCTCTCCAGTCCAGCCTAATTAACTGCATTCTTAGCGGTGGATAAAAACAGTCTCTGAAGGAGATGCTGCAACTGAAACCAGTTTGCTAATTAAAATGTGAATCCCCTCCTGTTCCCCTCGTTTCAGATAAAAAAAAAAAAACCTGTGTATTCTCTCTGATGTTTTTTAAATATCAACTCGTTGAAGCTGGGGAATCTACAGTTACAGAGCTGAGGGATTAAAGGTGACGCTTTAATCCTTCTGGTTCCCTGTTGACACTTCTGCAGTAAATGTTGCATTTGTTCAATTAAAACTTGGACTATTATAATTTGGCTCATTTTTCATATCTGGTCTCCTGAAGAAATATATTTTTTAAGCTTTTCCTTTTAAAGGGGCGGTATTGTGTTATCCAGTAGAGTTGAATCACTTGATAGCACAATGAGATAACTGTTTGCTTTAGTTGTAATAAAAATTATGTATATGTCTTAAAATAAATTTGACTTTGTAATTTTAATATCTTGGCCTGTGCTTGAGAAACTCCTGCTCTTTCTGAAACTTTCCCTGCATGAAGTCATCTCAACATTGATTGACTTTTTAGCCAGTGTTGCACTGAGAAGTAGCTGAGCTGTTGTGCTGTTCCACAAGATGTTTGCTAATTGCTGCTGGCTAGTCTGAAGGAGCTGAGTGGGGGAGTCACAGGGCAAGGAAGCTCTGTGAGATGGAAGCTTGGAAACTGTGGTTTTCAAGCTGCAGCGGAAGCTCCGTCCATGAAATCAGACATTATGTTATGTCCAGGGACATGAAAACGTATGAGGGGGAAAAATACAGCTGATTCTTATTTTCACAAGAGTTCATCTTTAAGTTTCGCACTGTTTTGTTCAGATGGACAACTCGGGGTTGCATTTGTACCACATCTGACCAGCTTCCATCGCCGATTTGCTTTTCCAACGTCTTGCTGATGAAAGCCGGTATGGGTCATATTACAATTAATGACTTCACATGACTTTCTTAGAAAACTTGATGCTTACTTTAAAAAGTCCTGTGAAGTGCTCCGAGTGTCCGTTGGACGTCACACTTACATTTAAACTCAAAAAAATGAATTGAACCCAAATAAAATGCAGGGAGTTAAGAGCAGTTTGGATGTTTTAAATGAACAGCTAATTGCTTGTTCATTGACCTCTATCCTCACACCTAACATAAAGCAAATCATTTCGTCCTACTGGCAAAAGAATCTAATCTTGTATAACTGTCATATCTTCAGGGTGGTTTTGCATTATTGCCTCCAACATTATTACTCTGGTGTGAAATGAACATAGTACAAAACCCGGCTTGACCTTTCCATGTCCAGCTGCACAGCTGCTTTTGGTCTGTAATTCGACCAATTCACCAGGTTCTACTGAAGTTTCTAGATCCAAGCTGAAACACTCGTCAGAAAGTCATTATGACGACTGAATCGCTCTTCCGCTTGTGATGAATGAAATCCAGCAACCGTTGTGACCGAGATGATCTGCACATCCTCCAACCGGCTGCTTATGTTTTGTTGGGCTGATGTTTCACATCAATGTTTTTTTTTTTTAATTTTTTTTATTGTTTCCAGCTCTGGAGTTTTACGGCTTTCGGCTCGAAGATGTTCCCAGATCCTCCTGTGAAAGTGAAATTAAGCAGATTACACATTTCATTTGGCCCGGCTTCTTTAATTTTCACGGCACCATTCTATTCACATACACACATGTACACACACTCCCTGGTACTTGCTGTAAATGGCTCCGTCTGCTTGAGTGAATGCCATTACTTGGGTGATACAGAGACCCGGTGTTTTAAATAGGTCAATTTGCAGAGCCAATATCTGTGAGCAGTGTGTTCTACCCTCGTTACGGGAACGGAAACCGGGGAGAGATTGGTCTTCATTAGGGCTGCTGTGGCACACCCATAATGCTGCATCATTACGAACCCATTTGTCAGCACTCAGTGGCTGGATAATCTTTGACTATGCTCTCATCTGACATCATCTGTGCGTTTCTTTTTCATCCTTTCCATATTGCGTGACCCGCTGGAGCATTTTCCTCGTCCTTCTTTCCGTCCAGAGGAGCTGCTTTTCCTCTTCGCAGTTCGTCATTTGCGTCTGTCGGGAGACGTCACGGCAGAAGAGCTGGCAGGTCTCGTTACTCAAACAGAGTGGCCTGCACCTCTAACTGGGACGTTTACAAGAGGCGTTTGTGTGCCTCAGTGAGCGCACTGAGTTACACCAGCAGCAAAACCAATAAGGGTAATGGAACATCAAACCAACACTGCTGGTGGAAAACTATTTCCAAATTAGAGACAATGTATTCTTATACTGATCATCTGCAACACAATATGCAACATAAAAGCAACAGAATGCTTGTATAGATGTTGAACACCTATATAAGCATGATTTAAAAAATTAATTAAATGAAACTGAATGGACGAATGACAGATTGTTTCATCATGCAAAATAGATTTTGGATTTCAAATTCAACAAAGCAGTTTTATTTTGGGTCTTTTGTTCGGCGGGGTTGTTTTCAGCCCAAAGGATGAGAGAAGAAAACATAACTATACGATCCAACAAGGGTAAAAAGTTGCATGTTTTCTCAATAGTCCTGTGGTTTAATGTAGTTTGATTTTGTTGTATGTCCCAGCATGCATCAAAGCAACACAGTAGGGATGTTGCAAACGAATGTTTTAGTAATCGAGTGATCCATCGATTATACTTACGATTAATCGAGTAATCGGATAAAAAACAATTATAAAATAAAATATTGGTAAATCTGGCGTAACACCAGGGTATTGGATATCAATATCAGCCCAATTTTTCATATTTGAGCTTTCCTAAAATTTACTTTTTTGTAACAAGAGCTCACTTTCTAAGTTAACCTTAGATCTGAAATTCAGTTCAATAATAAGGAGGTAGCTCACAAATATGCTAATATAAAATGTCTGTGCTCCAGCTCTTAGTTTATGTATCCGTCAATTTAATTGATGAACTCTCACATTGCCAAATACTTGTCGAGCTTTGGGTTTGAAAATATGGAGTTGGGGGGCCTGGAGTGGCACGAGACCAGGCGAGAGAACGAACGTTAGATGGGGGAGGAGGGAAGGAAATAGACCAGGGGCCAGACGAACGCAAGTCTGGGGACCGCTAGACCAGGGGACCGCTAGACCAGGGGACGAAAGTAAGAACAGACGGAGCAATACGGGATATTTACAGCACCTTCGTTTGTCACACTCAGAAACTCATCTACTGGTCATGCACCTCCGCCATGTTTCCCGCCACCTGTTTGTTGAGACCGGGATGATATGAAATTTATTGTGCGGTTGGTCCGTAAAGCTACACTCACACTGTAACTCAGCTGCCGGCCGTGTTCAGTCCATCTGCTGATGGAAATCCTCTTGCATCGTTCTTCCCGCCATTCGCTCCGAACCAGCAGATCCCAGAGGAGAAACGCTGCCGTACACCAGGCATCACGACGTCATTTTAAGGATGCTTATTGTTAAATACTTAGCTTGGGGCTTAATATTTAATGTGCCAATTGCTTATTTACTTTGAAACAGCGACATTTGTAAATGAACGAAAACATGACTTTGGAAAATGAAGCTAATTTTTTTTTTCTTTTATGACATAAAATAAGTGTTAATTATCGACAGTGTAAGAGCACCTTATGAGAAGATACTGCTACAGCCAAGAAAAGTGCTTTATAAAAGTATTAACTCAAAGGTGTGCACACTTATTTATTATTTCCTTTTTTTTTCCTATTGTTTTGTTAAATTGTGCAAATGAATATGTGGGAAAACCATCCATTTCACCCTGTTTAGTCTATTTCTCTGCTTTCACAACAATTAAAACCCTTCCTGCTTAACTTCTGGGTGTTTTTGGACCACAGTAATGAGCAATAAATATAGAATTGTAAGCATGTAGCAGTGTGTGGAGAGAGTCTGAAGCTTTTCTGCCTATAGGTTACAGCTTTGACGCTTATAAAGGAATTTCTTTTTTAAAAGCTGTGGTGGGGCAATGAACAGATCTTCCCTCATTTGGAGCCATCATGACATCGGTGGTCAGCCCAGAATTCTCCAGAGGAGTTCAGTGCTCATTGCTTTTTTTTTTTTTTCTTCAGTCATTTCTTTTGCCAATTTATTTCTGACAACTTTCCATGAACTTCCCCAGAAGGGCCGCTAAGTCAATTTCTTGCTGTTGTGCGCCTCCTCGCTCGAGGTGCCGCGCCGGCTCCTCCTGAGGCGCGGACGCACCGGGCAGGCCTTGGCGTGGCACGTGATGTGGCCGAACCGCTCCCTGAACCGCGTCGACATCAGGTTGTAGAGGATGGGGTTGACGGCGGAGCTCAGGTAGAAGCAGACACCGGAGACGATGTGGACGCTCTCGAAGATCGCCAGGTGCCGAGGGGACGACGGGTTGATGTAGCTCCACATCAAGCGGTCCACGTGGAAGGGAGCCCAGCAGAGGCTGAAGACGACAACCAGCACGCCTGGAAAACACCGAGCGGGTAAATCGGGACAGGATTTGCCAAGGAATGTTTTCTTTTGTGCTGCCTTCGCAAAACTGTTGCACTCCCTGGCGATGAATTGGCAAATCCCTGATTTGTTTGGTATACAGTCGAAGTGACAACGGATATTGATTTAAAAGTGCAAATACCTTCAAGCGGTCTCGGTGAAAACATGTTTCTACATTCTCAACTCTTTGGTGCATAAAGACATGCTTTTTAATGTTTGGTGAAAAGCATTAAAAAGAAAGAAAGAAAAACACATACAGAGCATCTTGGTGACTTGCAGGTTGCGTTTGCTGAGTCTCTGCCTGTGGGATCTGGACAAGGAGTCGGGTCCAAGGCTGTCGCTATTTGCTGCTGCCGTGTTCCTGACCTTCTCCCTGTGCAGCTGCAGGCCAATGAGCAGGTAAAGAATGCTAATGATCAGCAGAGGGAGCGCAAAGAAGACCAAGGTGGAGATCAGGATGATCATGTTATACATCCAGGCAGGCTTGACCACATCTAGGGACAGAGAGGCAACAGTGAGAAACTGGCTAAGATCACAATATCATACACTTTTAAAGAGGAGTGATCTTAATGGCTTGGTGGTATAAATTAGGTAACGTTAAGTCAGATGAAGACGGCAATTTGATCAAATCAAAAAATACATTCAGAGCAGGTATGCTTAATACTAGGTGTGCTACTGCCATAGACAAGCTAGCTTGAACATGTAGAGTCCATGGCTTTACTAGGAAAAAAAACCTCAGAAAAACAATCGCAGTCAGTCTGTTCAATACTACCATCCCTCACTTATCACATCCATCATGGCGCCTTCACGTGATAAAGTGTCATAGCTGCACAGAGCCAATGGGGTGTTGATGATGAATGAATGGGTTCGGCATTCAGTACGTACTACAAATGGCAGATCGAGGAAACTCTCGTCCAAACCGCGGAGGAAGCACCACTATCCCGTGCAAGCTGGCGTTCGGGACGGCGCACAGCATGGACAGCCCCCACA